TATCTAAGCCGCTGCCATCTCTAGATCGCTCAAGTACTAGAGGTGCAGTCGGTAATTTACCGCCTATGGTAAACGGCTTGAAAATGTGGTGTCCATCCATTAAAATTCACCCTGTATATATAACGATAAGTAATTAAAGTTAATGACTTATAAAATTAATTTAGTTAAGTTACAAAGTTGCATGAACAAAAAAACTAACTCAGTTAAAAATTGCGTTAAGATTAAATTAATTAAAATTAAATTAAAAGTTAATTTTGAAAATTATCGCGCACATTCGAACCTCAGTTAGCGGAGACTCAAACCCCACTTAGCGAAGATTCGAGTAAAAGGCGGAGCGGGTGCGCCGCCTCCACGCCAGAGGGCGTCGGCGGCGCGACTCAATAAAATAAAGGGCGGCGCGCCGGGGGGGCGATGGTCGCGACGGGTTGGCGGGGCGAGCGGGTGGTTTTCGCGGAGGAGGCGCGATCGCCTGGTGACGAAACGATCGGCGTGAAACGACGTATGTATGCACGGGTATACACGGCGCGATGATGAGTTTGACAGCGACGACGGCGACGGCAACGATCGACACTGAGTGACGCGCTTCCTCCTCCTCCTCCTCCTCCACTGTCTCCTTCTTGCTCCCCCTCGTAACCGCAACCCGGGAGATTGTTGCGAATAAGAAAAACGGAGCGACATCGTTTGACATGACCGTGAGAGGGATGCGATCGAGGAGAGTCCCGTGACGAAACCAGGTCTCGCCAGGCAATTTAGGTGGCATTATTATGGCAGAATGGACGAACGTAAATTGTTACCGTTGCTGATACTCTTCCTGGCAGGTAAGGGCCTCGCCGAGCGATAATCGCGAAAGAGAGAAAGAGAGTGAGAGTGATAGTGAGGGAAGAAGGAAGGAAGGAAGGGATAGATAAAGAGAGAGAGAGAGAAAAAAAGGAGACACGCTTCCGTCGAGGAACAATGTCGCGATCCATATCCAACAACGATCATGCGATCCGCTGCCGGCTATAGTATTCGCGCGAATCGTTACGATTCAGGGTCAGAGTTATATAAAGAGGCTAACTCGCTGTGCTCTCCACACGCTTTGCACGCGTTGCTTCCGTTTCCATCGCCGCCTGCCTGCGTCACTTGCCGCCGCGCAGGTGTAATGGCAGATTACGCGGAACCACCTGCCGAGATCGCGACACCACTCCTGATCGTTATCATTCTCTTCCGTGCGCTGCTCGCCTCGATTTTCTTCGTAACACTTTTAAAACGATGCGTCCTGGTCGAATCGTCGCGCGTCGCAACGGTTAAAAAGGTCCGTTTACCTTAATTAAAGGTCGTCTTGAAACGAATGTATATATAGGTGCATTTTGTCGAAGGAGGAAATAGGATATGAAACGAAGTTCTTAAGTCGAGGTCTATCTATAATCTGTATAATTCTTATGTTATTTAACCAGCTGCGATAGCTACTTGTTGCGTTCGACGGAGAGCAATTTTTTTTTATTGGATGTAATAAATTTGTTTGCCAATCTATTTATCCAGATCACTCGGAGCGATTGATAGCCTTGAGACTAGTCTTACTAGTCCAATAAAATAGCTATTAGTATCGCTAATACAGCTGCACAAGACAAATGTTAACAAGTGTTAACGAGTATCCGTGAACTTGCAGGATGGCAGGAAGCAGTGGCCGTGCAGGTACCGATGCGATATGTAGCCGTGGACGTGGGTAATGACCTGAAACTGGCCTGTACCGAGGAAGGTGTCCTTTCCCGTTTCGAGGAGAGCGGTATTTCACATGGCGAGGCATCCTATGTGATGTGGATAAGGGAGGGACGGGAGGACGGGCAGGTCGAACGGTTGAAAATCGAGCCAAACGGCGTGCTGGAGCTGTTGAACGTCAGCGTGGACGACGCCGGCAATTACTCGTGCACCGTGGACGAAGTCGAGAAAGCTAAGATCAATGTGGAAGTCAGAAGTATGTAACTCGGTCATCCTTAATATTAAATTAAAAAATTTGTGATTACATATATCGTGACATACAGTTTTAAATATAGTCGAACATTTTGAGAGAAAAAAATAGCAAATAAGTTACATGAAGTTTAGATATATTCGAAAATATTAGTAATTCTAGTTTTAGATTTGATAGCAAATTTGAGAATTTCTATTCATCGAGTTTTGAAATAAGAATTGCCCTATATATATTGAAATTCGGCTGTAGATTTTATTTTATCGTATCTTATATCTTTTTTTTTTGTGTTTATAGCGCCTCCTCCAGCCCTGCACAATGTATGGGTCAAGCCATCCACGATTTTGGCCAACATTCTCTGGGAGGTGGCAGGTACCGGCGGATATCCTATCATAGATTTCACTGCCGAATATCGTTTGAAACCAGTCGCGGGCGAAGAGCCGGATGAATGGAAGACCATTATTCCAACACACATTCCTCCAAATTCTGTAAATATCCTAATCTCGAGATCGCTAACGAAAGGCAGGGATGTTGAAAAACAAAACACGACGCGAGATAACTTGATAACGTTATATAATACTGTAATTATCGCGATAGCGTAACATTATTTTATAGCATTGTATTCGCCTCAGTTTCGATTATCTGTTGGACACTACAAGAAAAATATTTTTAATATAACGTTATAAAGTTATTCTATCCCTGATATAACCGGGAGATTAATTGAATTAATAACTTAAATTGTTTCGTTGTTTTAAAGAGACAAATAGATGTGTATCACTTGGTGCCAAACACTACATACTCGTTCCGAGTGTGGGCAACCAATCAGCTGGGAAAAGGAGAGGTCGTGGAGGTCGAGGGTCATACGCATTACAGTGTCGAAGAATTGGGTATTTTGTTACAAAATTACTATTACATAATTATTCGCGACTCTTGCATATAGAGATTTGTCACTGGGATAAAGTAAAATTCTGGCCTGTATAGATCTGTAACTGAAACTGTTGCTACTATTAAATTTAAAAAATGATTAAAGAATAACTTCTTATTAAGTTTATCTAAAATTTATTTATTTAAATACTGAGTTTGAAGTAAAAACAAGATATATGAAATCCGAGCTTCTAAATACGTTGTTTCAATGAATGGCAACAGTTTTGGCACATTCTACATACATATATAACGTAGAAATCTTTCTAGACTTGTCTTTCTATTAAAAACGTCCCTTGTACAGTAACGCAACTCTTTACTATGCGACATAACTAATTTTCAGAGCTCGCCCGACACCTCTTAGCCGGCGTAGAGAATTTCGATACACGCGTCTGGGTGGCAGCCGTAGGTATTGTGATGGGCACACTTATGATTCTTGGTTTAGGTACATGTTACCTACTGTATCGCGAGTGCAAGGCACCCTGTAAGCATTCCTATCTGACAACCGTACCGTAAGAGCTTCCGCTTCTACTCTGTCTCTTTACTGCTGCTACTATACTACTTCTTTCCGCTGGTGGATGATTCATTAACATTCATGGCCTCTCTAATAAGCACGATGCTCGAGAAAATCGTTTTCTCTGTCTCTCTCCATAGAAGCCTTCGTGCAATTTAGCTGAAGAACATATGTACATTCATGCTCATTTTCAACAAACAACAGGACCTGTTAGCATCTTACAATTAGCTGACTTATCTCTGGCTTCACTCTATTACGCGACAGCCATGTTTTTTTACGAAATTATTAATACTTTTATATAATATCTCTGTATATTCTGAGCACCATGCAAACTTGTCATTAGATTTCAACATTTACCGACAAATACGACAGCGGAGATCTCATCTCATTATTCAATTATATATAATAACGAACACTTTTCCGATTGCCGCACTAGAACACTAACAAAATGAGCACACAAATTAAACAGTATTTTTACCTTTTTTATGATATATGGCACTCATTGGAATGAAATCTCGAACTTCTCAATAGAATTTCCCTTGCCGCAGATTTTACTTGTTACTGGTTACTGGAATCTTTTTGAATACAAATATTTCCTCTTGTTATTCCGATTATAGATTATACCTATGCTGTACATAATGTTAACGAGCCTGCCGACAATAATTTAGTGATGATGAATGAATAGTAAATATTACGATAGTCATAGAAAGCATTATGATTTAGTTAAGTAATACTAATAAGATCTTTGACAATATCGAGGTAGGTAGGTAGGTAGGTAGGTCAAAGGTAGCAGATTCATTTGTCAGGTAAACGGCGTTTCAATTGGCATCATCGGGATCCCGGTATTCTCTGTTATTGCATTAACGAAAATGATCAATAATCACAGAAATACTTTGAGAGTACGACAACCGTCACGAAATTTCCCACGCGCAAATGTCTTACAGTACCTGACAAAGAATAACCGGTGAAGGGAGAGGGTAGAAGCTAATGAGACCCGTGGCCCAGACCAATGAAAATTAATCTCCGCTCCGAAATTGCAGCGCAGCTGGAGGAGCAGGAGGTGATTGAGCTCGTCCCCAACATCATTCTGAACCCGGGATTTTTCGACGAGCGCACCGAGCACGTACCGCAGGACGAGAACTTCAACAATCAGACGACTACGCGCCTCAACAACAACAGCGTCGTGCAACCTAGACGGCTTTAGCGTTTTTTGTTTAGCTTAGACTTGCTCCGCTCCGAAGTGAGTAAATTGGACGCAGTTTTCCACGTCATCTCGAACGTAAGTAACCGAATTTAATCGGAAAGGCCTCGAGTTTGTCTAAAAGAAAAAAAAAAGAAGAAAGAATGAGAAACGAGACGATCGACGAGATCGATCCAAGAGACTAAAAGAGACTAAAAAGAAATGCAAGACTATTAGCGATCATGGCGAAGGGAGAATACGCTTCGGGGAAAATTTCGGTACACTTCCAGCAGTCCATTGGTAGCTTAAAGTGCCTCGCTAGTTTCCTCGACCTTTCTCTTGCAATCGGAGATCGAACGAAAGAACCGGCTTCTATTCTAAAAAGGGTTTTCCGTAGAACCCAAGTGTCTTTAACGCGGATTTTAAGGATTCCAGTGTTGTAGAAAGTTGCTATTATTCTTGGAAGATTTACAAACGATTTCAAGGATAAAGCGCAAGTAGATTTTTATATGTGCGGTAACATAGAGAAAAGTGTAATTTAGATAGATTAAAGAGCTCATTTTTAAAAGAGAACCCGGGAGATATATACATCTTCCTATCAAAATATTGTAATAATGTAAAACATTATGATTTTCAAACTTGTAGAAACAAACGAGACTGTCGAAATGGAAGGAATTGAGGAAAAAAAAAGGAAATAAAGGTTCTCGTTTTTCGTTCTCGTTCGATCTCTGATGTTACAACGCAACAATGAAGTGTTCAAAAAAAAAAAACAAAAACAGAATGTAAGACTCCACGTCAGATTTCTTCGCGCGAGAGGAGGGGTAATAGATTTTTTTAGAGATGTTTACTGCAGGACGTTCTCTCTCTCTCTCGCGTATAGTTACTCAATTAGAGACACACACTCAATGATTGCTCAGTGATCGAGCTTAAAGGGAAGTGGAACTCCTGTGAGCCAAAAGATTTGTAGTAAGACTGTAACTCTAAGAGTATAATTTTAAAAAAAGAACTCAAAGTGAATTGCGTGATGATCGAACGATATTCAAAAAAAAAAGAAAGAAAGAAAGAAAGATGTACTTTGCACTTGTTTACCTTTTTGAAAAAGTGACGCAATGTGCGCGAATGACATGCGAGTATTAAGATTTTTTTAACGTGCTCATTTATCGTTTAAGCAATCGGATCGTACGTGTAATGTACAGTATGACGAACCTACTGCCGTTTTTAAGGTGTGCACAAGTCGAGTTGAAAGATCCTTCCTATAGGAATCTCCTCATTTTCTTTTCTCGTTATGTTATAAATTTATTACGAGAATAGATACTCTCACTCTTTGTGTCCTCGTTAATACGCTATTGCTCGTTATGTGTGCTCTCTGTGGAAAAATCCCGCGAGTTCGGAAGAATTCCGTATAGACAGGAATATCGTTTCAATTTTAACATTAGTATTATGTTTATGCACACGATTAGATTTTGTCCGTAATATTTTTCACGATTAATCCGCATGCGATTGCTCGAGGGATGCGCAATATTGCTTTTGGCACACTTCTGCACCACCTTTAATAATAATCTAACATACAACCTATTATGTCTACGTATATCACCGTCGACTCGCACGTCGTTTCGCAAAAATCAAATTTTTCCCAAACAGCGACTAAGGAAAAAAAAAAAATAAAAAGAAAAGAAAAAGAAACGGACGGATAGCTGTGCGAAGCACGAGTATCAATAGGTGTAATGTACGAGAAGATATATGGCGTTCCACTTCGGTGGCACCATTTTTTCCGGCGATATTCCAATCGATGTCGTGCTCTCTCTCTATAGTCGAGAAAGAAGCCCCGCTTGTCATTAGCATACCGTCGGGAAATGAGGAGGCGCGGATATATAAGGAGGTGGAATCGCCCGGGGTACACGCAGCCTACAACGCGCGAAGAATAAAACGTGCATTTTCTTTGCATCGCGTGCAATAATAAGAGATTTCAATAATCACTAGCACTTAATTATACACTTAACGTTGAAATAAGATTGAAGAATAGAACACATTACATATTTTGAATAACGCTATCGTACTAGACGCGAATGAATCTCTGTGCTGGTAATTGAGCAACTGGACACTCTGCAACGCTGTGTCGGGAACACGTGTGTTTCGCGCGCGTGCACAGAATTTCGAATGTTAACATGATGCTCGATGCGACAGTTAACGGATGGTGCGTTTGATTTCTGCTAAAAATGGAAGAGAATGTCTGATGTGGAGCAGCAGTTCCGATTCCGATGAATTCGTTTCCTGTACATCCGTTATACTTTCTCTCGTGCTTTGCTTTAATTGACCGCACAGATCGTTTATTAGAGAAAACGCAACACTTTGTTCCCCTGAGATATTTGTTAAACATGATTTGTATATAATTTGTGTAAAATTACTATATATACAATAATTTTTTTGAATATTCCTTTTCTTTGTATCGGTGAGAAATGTAATGTTTGAATTGATATTATTAAACTCAGAGCATAGTGGCACACATAATAAGTTTCACGAGTCAACTGCAAAGTGACGAGATACTTTAATGCACGCAGGTTGTATAAAAATTGGTTGTGCGTTGTTACATTGAGGCTTTCGATACGCTTCTCCTTTCGCATTCTTTTGAATACACCACATACGCGCGTATGTGTGAGTAAAAGAATGACGATAAGAGCGAGCGGATCGACATTCAGCTTCGTACTATGCACTCTGTGTTGTGAATGGTATATAGATCTATAAGAAAAATAATACAATAATAATTATAATAATGATATGGAAATACGTGTATATGTATACACATATAATATATATATATATATATATACATATACGATATATTTATATAACCGAGCATCATGCTATTTTAAGCATAAGTAAAGACAATTTTTTATATACATTACAATTATGCTGAAACCTGATGATAATATTTATCTACATGTCGAGGTAGACGAAATGACTCTATACCACGACGCGATGCTGCGTCTCGCTTTGCTAATCGACAAATCTCGCTCACGAAAGTTACTTATTGTAGTGCATCCCTCCTTAATTTGTCACGGAAGAGTCGTATTATTTTTGCCCGGAATGTCAGAAGTACGAAACATTATATATATATATATCAAAATAATATAATGTTGAACCCCAAAAATTTTGATAGTGCAGGTTTTTAATACGATTACAGATTTGACATTTAAAAAAAATATATAACAATAATTATATTTTATCATTTTTTATAATTGTGTAGTTGATTATTATTAATTTAATTCTGTCGTGCGATTTTCGCGAAGCACACATGAAGATGTCTGATTTTTCGACTAATACGACTCTTCAGATTTCCGCCGTTAGAAGTTTTATAGGTGTATGACCCTTTGCTTTTTGTCAAATGTAATACTAAACATACCTAATGCCTATAGCGAAAGCTGCTAAAGAGAGCCGTTCCTCGAAGAAACGAAACGGTGCAATAGTATAATCCAACATAAATTATTCTTATAACTAACTACTAAGCTGATATAAAAATTGCGATAACGAACTTTAAAAAAAAAAAAAGAAAAAAAGACATCATACGTCATGGAATTTCTGCCATTGTACTGTGTGGAGAGGGAATAGCATATCTACGCGCATACAAAAAATATAGATATTCGTGTGTGTAACGGAGATTATTTTTTTTATATAGAAAACGCGTCCGCAGCAAATCTCTTATCACTATAGTAAGCGAGAAATGATAATGGCATTCTCTGACGAATGCGAAGAATTGACATACACCAACCGCGCTTTATATATATTTATATAGTCAATATATTTTCTATTTTTTTCTACAATTATAGAATTGTGTAAGAAAATCGCCGATAAATGAAGGGACGCGAGGCAAAAAATTAACTAGGAGTCATGATGTAGAGAGAAATATTTCATGATTTCACGACGAAATTATATAATCGCGAGTGTAAACGTATATACCTACAGTAATAATGGCAGATATTTTATATTCATATCATGAACACACACCGATAATAATCTATGTGCTACTGTAGTGATCCCTGTAGGCGCAATTTTCAGTATGTTTGTAATTTTTGAAGATAAGGCATTGAGAGAAGACAATCCTGAGAGAGTGACTTCTTGCAAATCACTTTCAATTTTCTATCTCACATATTATTTTAATTCTTCTGCATCTTTTAGATTTTCTGTATACCAACTTATTAAATTTAACATCTGTCTTTTTAGTGTCATATAAAACTCTGAAAAGTCTTCTTTCTTCTAAAGGATTCTAAAAATTTCTCTAACGCTAAAGAGAAATTTGTTTGGAATCTTTTTCCAGATCAATTTTTTTACAACGTAAAAAAATTGATCTGGAAAAAGATTCCATCAATATCAATTTTTTTACAACGTAAAAAAATTTATTTGCAACGTAAATTTCTTTCATCGATGCCTTATAATCTTTTCTGAAAGTCTTTTCTTCTTTTTCTCTAATTAAATCTATTGCATCAACATTTTCACCCTCTCTTCTGCGAATAGTTCTCCCCGCTTGTCTTTCGTTTTCGTCTGCGTATATATTATCGTTGCATCGCTTATATAACGGCACCGCTGCGACTTAGACGTGCGTGCACAATCGTTCTCGTATAACTTGCATAATTATCCCCCGATATACCTCGATGATTAGTGCACTCTTCGACGAAACGTATATATTAAGCGAAGCACAATGCCAATAGAATAGTATGTTTATGGTTGCTAGTGCCACCATGTATCGTCCCCAACATACATATTTGCCTGCCTAATTACATCCCGATGTGCGATGAACATACGTGTGTGTGGTCTCTACGGAGAAAAAAAGGAGAAAAAAAAACACGCTATGGCTTCTTCCATGACAGAATGTACCGATAGTTTCATAGTAGATAATTAATGTCGGATACTGGGTGTTTTCTCCTACTGTGTAACTAGCGAACTTTCCTTGTTTCCTTTCGTGAAACTTACACTTTACCCGGCATATCGCTGGCATGGTTAACGTTCGTTAAAAACATTTTGAGAAACAGCAGCGAAGAAAGAGAAGATTGTATTACAACGGATAATATCGCATTTTTATTTATGTCGCGAATGCATAATTCGATTGTCAATAATTTATTAGTATGTTTAGTATATTTAGTAACAGATTGTATTCGGGATCGGATTTTAGGACATTCCGAAATATCGGGAAGAGTTGCATAGTTATAATTATCTGTAATAATAGTAGTTATACGTCTGATTTATTCTAATAATTGAGTCTGTAAATTATAATTTTTTTTTAATTTTAATCCTATTTGTACATAATTTCAAAATTTGATTACTTATTACTGTAATTAATCATAATTTTAAAACTAGTCAGATACAGCTTTTAAGTTACATAGTCTTAATCTTTTCTATTTCCTTTATTCTAAAAAAAAAATTCATTTTAAATTCTTCGCGCTCTTATTTTACAAAGATCTTGCTATAATTTTTTTTTTTAGATCTGTGATGTAGATAAGTGAAGAAAAAATCCGATCCTGAACGGTGTATTCTTTTGTAGTATTCGATGATGTCTTATAGAATTTTATTTTAGTACAGCGCTGTGAGATGGAGAGTAGGGGCCATAAATGACCAAAAAGGAATAGTTTAGCTTTAATAAATATACTTCCGTTGTTATCGATACTTGTTGTTTCTGTTTGCTAGAATCGTTTTTTCTTGCGTATATGCACGTTGTTGCGTTTTGTATACTCATTGTTTGTCCTCTTTTTTTAATTGATCTGTATTATATATTACTTTACCGATCAAAATCTCTCAGTCAAAAATAGTACACGTGCACTTAGCAATAAATTGTTATTTGTTGTTTATTGGCGCAAAACGTGCGATGTCAGGGAGTTAGAAAGTCATGGGCTGTCTTTCAGTGATTCTATAAAACATGACATTTACTCGCGAGATAAAAGATGAAGTTAGTATTAATTTTGTTACCTTATTATTTTTCTCTTTACCAAAACGGAAGCAAGAGATTGAGATTTTTTATTTTTGAGATTGTTTAGCCAATGATTTTCGTACGCTTAACTTTTTAAAAGGCGATGGCAATGAATATACATTCCACCAAGTACAAAAAGACACCTTCCGCGCAATCTTTGATTAAGCGGATATTATGCGGAAACGTAACGGTATATTTACTGGATTAGACATTGCTTTCCGGGTAATATTTTTTTTTCTGTAAGATGAAAGTAATGATTGTGCTTGAGTGCAAATACCGTCACTGTTCTATAGACTGTTGCGACAGATGTAACGTCGTACATAGTCCGCGCACGTTTCGCGCGAGCCGAGGAGAGCATTACACTAGGCACATATCAGCGAGATGTAATGGAAAAATTATCAGTAATTAGCGGCGCTCTGCACTTCGTATCTTTATAATATCGATACCGTTTGCGATCATTAGTGTAATATGTGTAATTAACCGAATGTCATCAAGTCTCTTTTGTTAAAGCGAAAATTAAACATTGAATTTCTTACGAAAGCGAGAGTTTCTGTTTTTTTTTTTCACTTCTAATCACTAGACTTACGTCAATTGTATCGTTCCGCGCTATAATATCTTGTATGTACAATCATGTGTGTACTCGCCGCTATGTACATCCTATAACTAGCACCTTCCAGCGATTATTTAGTGAAGACCTATATAGCTTTAGTTCACACGATCGTCAAGATGGTTGTCACAATGGTTGTCTCAATCTATAATAGTCCTACACATAAAGTATCAATTATAAGGAAACTTCCAGATTTATTTACAGAATTTATTACAAATATTGATACAATAAATGTAACTGTCATTGATAAACAGCGAGTGGTCGTTATTTTGCATGCTAGGGTGGGCACTGACTTCAAAATACATTTGCGTTAATCTTAAGACAAAATTCTAATTTCTTTCCAGCTTTATTTGGGAAAAAAAAAACGTCGAACCGTCGACGCCGAAACCTTTTCCCATTGACAATCCAAGACAAATTCTCGATGTCTAACGTGACGTTACGCCACGAGAAGCAAGATCTTCTCGATTCTGGCACAGAGTTTCTGCATTTCACCGGGCACCGTGTACTCCGCCGCCAGGATGGCGTTCGCCACGGCGATCGTCTCCTGTACCGACCGCGCCTTGATCCACACCCTGCCGTTCATCCCGGCGGCGAGTTCGTACGCCTGATTCCGGCCGAGCAGCCGGAACAGCGGGCACTCCGGATTGAGCAGCTTCCGCACGAGGGTCAGCGAGCAGGTGAACATCATGCCGTCGGAGCTCAGCACCCCGAGATCGTTCTCCTTGCCCTGGGAGTCCACGCACACCAATTCCGGCTCCATGTCCTTGCTGGCGACCAACAGCTTGGCGTACACCAGATCGCCGATCTGCACGTCGGGCCGGTTCTTCTTCGTGGCGCCCTCGAAGGCGAGGTAGGACAGCGTCGCCTGGTCGCTCGCGCCGATGTCCACCTTGTAAATGTCACCGCTCTTCTGCGTCACTATACCGACCACGTTCTCGCCCCGGCTGGGAATGTATCTGCGCGCGGAATAAAAGAATAGTTCAAGATGGATCAACCGCGATTAGCGTCTCCAAAGAAAAAACATCTCAATTAAATTATTGAATTTGATTAAAGTCACATTTTTTTATTGCAGACGCAGTATCGACCGAATCAGATCGAATTATATGCGCGTTTGGCGAGGAATAAAGGAATCAAACTTATTATATTTGATTCTGAATATTTGAATATAAAGGAATTTTGTGTAATTTATGATTTTATATTAATGAATGGAGCCGTGATGTATGTATGTAAGGAATCGCTTCCTCTCTCATTTTCATCTCGATTCAACAGGATCGCCGCGAGAAAAAAGACTTGTGTCTTATCGGAAATTGAAATCTTATCAGAGTATATCTGTTTTTTTTTCAACGAGAGAGAAACGATACCGGTGCCCGTATTGGTGTCACGATTCCGCAGCACGTCCGAGCGCGGACGAGGACGTTCCGTACCGTTTCTGGTAGCTGTCCACGTAGTAGACGGCCGGCTCGCGTTTCCTCAGGACACCCGCCTTGCAGACGAGCACGGCGTCGCCCTCGCGGCGCAGCCCGGGTCCCAGGATCACGATCTCCTTGTCGTTTCTCTTTTCCTTCTTGACTGGCGCGACGTTTCTCACACTGTCGCCCGGCATCACCACGTCGCCCACGTCGACCTCCATCCCGGAGGGGAAAGAAAAGTCTCTCTCTCTCTCTCTCTCAGCTTCTTATTTCATTCGCGCGATCGTTCCGAGTTCTTCCTCGAAGCTCCGCCGCGCGTTCGGATAACCTCAAGACCGCCGCGGCGCGCGACCACGTGCGGCCGGTCTCGAGCAACGCGTGGTCGTCGTCATCGCACGTGTCAGGAACGTCAGGCGACTAGAATTACAGTTTCAACCTGAGTTTCACAGTTGAAATAAACCCCGTGTTTGTTTTGTATTCTTATCGAGAATAAAATGCTCACGAGTCTCTTGGATACGCTTAGATACACACATAAAAGGCAGACCTCTCCTCCCGTCTCGCTGATTCTCGCCTGCACTTTCTGTACTTAAAATGAGACAGCTGATGCAGACTCGGGTACTCGGGATGAAAGAAGAAGCGAGAGATCCGAGCGCGGAAAGTGCAGGTGAAACGAAGAGATTTTACGCAGCTGTTCCCGGCGGCCGTCGAACATCTGATCTCCGGATCACTTCCCTCAGTCTTGTGTCGACGAGATGGATAGACGAGGAGATTCGCGTGAGGCTACGGAACGAGCAGATGTGACGAGCGGGCGCACCTTACGACGTAATCAAGAAGTGGACAATCCCTGTTACAAGGTATAGACATCGAAAACTATTCGCGAACGTCAGTCACGCAAACGCAAGTTTTGTGCAAGTCCGCACTTTTCGATACCTACTCCTTTTTACAGCAATGTTGTCATTGCCTCGGGGAGAGCCGGGGAGGAAAGGCGTAGGCTAGGAAAATGTAGATGAAAAGAAAAGAAAATGCCGTCGAACGTGCCAGAGCCCGCGTCTGCAGGCTCTAAGTCTGTCCGTTAACACGTTGCGTTTTCTCAACTTTCCAGGAGCACCTCCTGTCCCTGAGGTGCCTCGATTCCAACCAGAAGAACCACAACGTGTGCGAGCCGTATTTCTACAATTACAAGAACTGTAAAAGCTTCTGGGTAATTCTCCTTCCCTGCGAATCTACACAAAAATTCACGCCCGTAAGAAATGATTGATCCCCCCCAATGGGACATATTGTTTCTCCCTTTTACAGGCTTCCGTGCAGAGCGAACGCAGGTCGAAAGGCATCAAGCCGCATCTGCCGCCTCTGGAGGAGCGCGCCAAGATAAAGGCCGACTACCTGAACTCTGGATAGCGATAGATATCAGCACGACTCTTGCTTTGTAAAAATATCTTTTATTCCGTGATATTTTCTACATCGGTTGTTTTTCCACCCGCGATATTACACCCGTAATCTATATTACGCATGTATATAGTCCAACAAAGTATTTGTATATAAGCTTGAATTATATTAAATCTAACGTCGGAAAGAAACTGATTACATCTTTCGCTATTACCATTTCTAAATTTGTTCTTTTTCGGTACATCTTAACGCATTTTACTTTTACACATATACTTGGAAAACATATCACTCTGTTTTATATATATATGTATATATATATATATACCTACAGCTGTGATCGAAAACTGTGAGTTTTTTTTTGAACGGAGGAGAGAAAATAAGCTAAATATCGATGTGTTGTTGCTGCAACACTACGGTGCCATTTGTAGCGCACTTTACAATGCGACTTACGCGAAAAATCAACACATACACGATACAATTGTTTGTACATATACATATCTTAACGCAAATGTACACACTCGATGCAGTTAGACGCACTCGATCCTCTCTCTTACTCGACGACACATTGGCATCCGTATTCAGAACGCGCTGACAACGACGTTAGAGCGCCAACACACTATATAGTCTACGTTTCGGTTTGTTCATAGATTCTCAGAAAAGCACGCATTTATCGATAGAAGCGCGTTCCGAGTACGGATCTCCATTATCTTTTACTTAAATGCAACTTGAAGTACTACAACACATACATTGTTCTAGAATTAAAGGAAAAAAAAATATATATATATATATAAACTGCCAATAATTTATACACATTTTCAAAACGCTAAAAAGAAAGAGAGAAGGAAAAACGAAAAGAAAAAAAAAGAGGAAAAAAAGATAAGATAGATACAATATTATTAGTACAATTGATTAATAACGTCCGAGGGACGATACATGTCACAAACGAAGAGGTGCATTTTTAGCTTACTGCTCAATGAATGAGCTCGGCAGCATTCAAAGAAAAAGTATTTGTACACACATGTCATATGTAAGCGGAATACCACGATTGAGAGAACGTTTATGGACGTACCGCTGCTCTTGGAGATAAAAGCATTGACGCGGATAAGGTATATCACAGTAAAACAGTTCAAACCGTTCGTTTTTTTTTCCGGGGCAATTTTGTTACTGCGATATACGGGAATAGACGCGCGCGACCCAGCAGGCACTATATAGTCTCTTTGAATATGTGGAATAAAGTGGCGCTATCAAATATATCTCTGCGAGCAGCATTACTATTTCGTATTTTCGCGTGAATGGCGAGTGTTTCTTCGTGAAGGACGTGATTTCTAGGAATATCCCTTATTTTTTTTTTCCCCAACAAGTGTGTTTTGCCATATGATATATAAGTTAATTCCTCGTGATTAATTTTAATTTTAAATCCGTGCGTGTATGTGTGTGCCAGATCTCTTCTCCCTGCTTGCTTTTCCGATCTTTTTATCGATCTTCTTTTTTTTTAAAACTTGTCTCTTCGTTCTTAACATGCATCGTCGGCAAGTAGTCATTCGGAATGATCTTTTATGGAGAACGTCTGAATACGGAAGTGCCGGCACATTTGACGTACCTGTAATATACAAAATCCGACGACGTTACCGTAAGTGCCTCGTAAATTATAAAAATATAAGTAACACTTATAATTGTAGGTATCTCTCCAAATATATGTAAGGCAATACATTAATATCATAACGTTAATATCAATATATCTATATGTGTATAAAATTATAATTACGATCATAACATTTCGTAAACTTACCACACAAGTCCCGTAATGAATATGTGCCACCAAGGCCACTATGGAGACTAAATACATAATTTCCAAGTCTACGCTGGGCAAGATAAACGAGAAAACGGCGGCGACCGCAATCGGCAACAGTAACCACGGCAATATCTCGCATCTAGTATTACTCATTTGAGATACGATTAATCGACACTGCGACATATAAATATACTTAATGAATATTATGAATACTAACATACTGATAAAAAGAATAAATTAATATTAATAAAATATTAATATTAATATTAATAAAAAGATTAAATAAATATATATATCTTACGCATATATTGGAGAAAATAGTGCCGATGACAAAGTATATTATTCTCGGATCCTTTTCTAGTATATTGTTCGGAGAGCGCATTATCCAGACCGTGGAAATTATGAAGAATAGAACTAAAGGCACCAAGGGCCTTATAGCCTCTGGAAATGTCCGCATTTTGCCGGTCTTATCTCTATAGGATCTGCAACACAATAAAAAAAATTATGTTAAATATAGTAAAACAGTTCACTATAATTAATTTTTTTTTCAAGTTTTAATCATATAAGTATTGACGAAAAAAAGTACTTTTTATGTTAAATTATATCTGTTTCTCTCGTTCTTTTTTTTAAAAAACTTTATTAACTATATTTTATTTTTAGAATAACTAATTATAGAATAACTAATAATACTTATCCTTAATAGAAATTTCGAAATCATTTCGTTTTTAGATATTATCGAAATCACCGATAATAATTACAAAAATTGTATTTACCGTGACAATAAAACGTCACTCACTTGTATATGTTCCACAGAACGACTGGTAGATTGGACACGAGCGCGCTAACGTAAAACAACATTTCGAACATTATTCCCGCCGATATACCACCCGGTAATTCGAATTTCCAGGCTTCGTGTCCACCTATGCTGGTAAGTGTAAATACAATGACAGTTGCCTAAAAAAAAAAATCAAATCGAAAAATTGTAAATCAATTAAAATCTGATAAATCGATGAAAATCAATTGGTAACATAAAAAAAATATATATATTTTTACATAAATCGTTCGAGCGAACTTACTAGCATGGAAGCATCGTATCCCCAGGGAAGAAACAGTACGCCCGTGTTATACTTCTCCCAATGACTTAGGTAGAAATTAATAAATACGTTCCACAGTATGAAGTACATTCGCAACGGCGAGACGCTGTGATCCGTCCTGCCGAAGACCGAGTACATGCACACCGTGATCAACATGGCAGTCCAACTGTCTAAACCATGGTCAAACAGTTCCCCCAAGGGGCCGGACGTTTGTGTGCGTCTTGCCTGCTTTCCATCTATCCCGTCTGCAATATATACATAATGGTTATAAGTGAAATTAAGTTATTGCTGTCAATTGACCTCAATGAGATTTATACATACATCTTTCTCAATAAAATTATTACTTTCTAAATTCCATTGCTTAATTTAAATTTATGGATTGTTTAATTTTATTTGAGTTCATGTACATCTCTACTTCAAACTCAAAAGACAGATTCCATAATTTTGTGAAATGAATATTATCTCAATTATCATCTATGCATATAATATATATCTATACACTTTGCACCTATCAACTCCTACATGTTAATATTAAAACTGTATATCAAGCACCAGAGGCACGTACCAAGCGTATATGCCATAAAAATGTTAAAAGCAGCCACTGCAAAGACCCATCGTGATATCGGAGGGTGTTCCGGCTTATCGTCGCTGGACGCAAAGAAGTAGTAGTCGTAAATCGCAAATAGCATGAAGTTTAGCACGGTAAAAAGGAATCCCGAGAAAGTTAGTACGTTTGGAGCAACCCACTTTGGACAGTACTAAAACAAGACAAATTATCTCTGTGTTTATTCTATAATATAAAAATACTATATAAAGAAGAGACATTTTGTTCTACTTGTAGCGCTACGAAATACACCACTAAAAGTAATCTTAACATAATCAATTGCGTCACGACTGAAGCACGGAAATTACCTGTACCACTTTGTTCCAAAAGGGATGCATAACATACACGCTCAGGGGACTCGTGTCCAGGGAGCTATACTGAAATCAGAATAGTCGAAATAAGTGACGCAGCCGAACGTTGAGAACGTGTTGTTCAAATTTATTTGCGAATAAAATTGTACGTTATTTTATATACGTTGAGAAAAATTGCAATATAAGTAAAGTATTCTCGTCGTGATTCATCGCGAGTTATATATATATATACACACACACACACATGCTATAATTGCGTATACATCACAGAACGTTATCACATTAACACACGTGATACATAGATACAATCACGATTTCGTCAAATCAATATTTTCCTGCACGTACGAAAAGTGTATGCACGCGCTGTCAAAAGTCGGAGCGCCTCACCTTGTAGCTCTCGAACCCGGTGAGATGCTCCTCCGTCAGGTACTCCACCTCGAACTTCAGCTTGCGATACATTTTCGGGATCTCTAGAATCTTCGAATGCCACTCTATTATCAGAAATCTGACGTTGCACTTCTCGAGAGAAAAACGTGTAACCGCGCGTGTTCGCGCGACCGACGACGGGGGAGAGGCACGCCGGGCCCCGCTCCGCGCACTCGAGGGGGATCCTCTGTGATCCGCGCGAGGATGATCCACGCTCTCCTTATTTGTACCGCATGCAAAATCGTCTGTCGCGCCGACTCATCGTGGCGTCGATCATCGCGGTCGGGTGGCACTCCGCTAGTCCGCTCCCGTACACTCCCGCTTTTCTCACGCCGTCGAAGATCACGAGATTCTTAGCCTCCTCACGAGGATGAGTCTCCGAGTGATTTCCGCCCGCGCGCACGTTCGTCCGACGGTTCCTCCGGACCGAGTCAAAGTCTCGCCGAGATCGCGCACAGCCGTGGGCGCGACGCGGCGCGTATTACGCGTGTATTACGTATGCACGCGCGTATCGGACGATCCCGGCATGTCGTCGCCCATTGTCACCCCACGGGGGGCTGCACCGCGCACGCAAGCAAGCACCACGCACGCACGCACGCACCGCACGGCCGCACGCCAATGAATGCGCGACGTGCGTTCTTCGCGTAGGAGAGAGGAACGCGGCCAGCAGCCGGTTGATCGTCCCGTTCCCCCCGGTTCCCCGTCGTCATCAACGTTCGTCCCCGTCCCACGTATATATATGTATATGTATACGATCGTCCGCGCGCTGACCGCGCCTGCTGCTTGATCGACCGGGACGGGGGAGAAGACTCGCGGCGAAGACGTATCTTAACGACTGCTGCGGAGGTTGAGACTGCAGATTTGTCGCGAGTGCCCACAGTCGATCATGCACAAATCTGCCCGCGACTTGGGGGCGACGCGCAGTGGCGCCGCGAGCGATGGCCAATCACGAATACATACACCCCCGATTACGCGATCAGCGGTGGTGAGCGATCTGGAGCCTCCGTAGTTCTGGTTTCGCGAGGGCCGAAGAAACAAGGCCGAGAGCGGGTGCAGATTTTGACAGTTGACATCTTCGCCGGTGCTCCTGACCACGTCCCCCCCCCCCGACGCACGTATGTCCGTATGATGACGTAAGCCGGCACCGGCGTTGTACTCCAAACACGCGCTGCGCGCCCGATTGAATCCGTTTGAAAGGATGACACCGTGCTAATTCCACCGATTCACCATCGTATACATACGTGAAGGAGCGAACGACGCAAGGACCGGTGGTTACGCAGGCATGGGTGATGCTCTCGCTGCTGTCACTTCTTGAAAAGCGTAAACGGATCATTGTACGTATTTGTGTGCACGCATACGTGCGTGCGTGCGTGCGCTTAATGTATGCATAAAATCATGTTAATGATCGTCACTCCGATTTGTCAGCTCCGTCGCTCCAGAAACATCGCCATGGCCTCCGCCACGGAGCAGCAGCAGCAGCAGCAACAGCAGCAGCAGCAGCAGCAGCAACAGACGACGCTGGAGTTCTACCAGGCGATGGCCGATTTTAAGAACATGTTTCCGCAAATGGACGACGACGTGATAGAGGTGGGAGAATTGTCGACTGCAGGATCCTGCCTACCGACCACGTCGTTTTGTTTCCAGGAATACGTTTGCTTGATTCTATTGCGTGCTGCCTTTGCAGGCTGTGCTGAGATCCAATCAGGGAGCCGTGGACACCACGATCGACCAACTGCTCACCATGAGCACCGACAACGAGAACGAGAAGATCAGGAGCGAGCTGGAGCAGAAGGAGGAGCTACCGAGCACGACGGCGAAGTCGCCCAGGAGAGACCTTAGCAAATCGTTAAAAAGCAGCGTTCAAAAGTGGCAGCCTCCGCTACTGGGACCGTTGCCGGACACCTTTCTGAGGCTGCCCCAGCATGCGTCCGACGACGGCATCGACCCGGCGTATTCGCAGGAGAACTCCATGCTGGAGGACGAGAGGATCGCTATGTTTCTGCAGAACGAGGAGTTCATGGCGGAGCTCCGTTGGAACGAGGACTTCCTGTCCACGTTGGAGAACGGTAAAGAATTGAGGAGGAGGCTTCGCGGGCAAGCAAGCGTAGCTCGAGAGAGAAAATTGAACGTTTTCCTCTTTCTCTTGTAGACTCGAAGCTGGAGAAGAGCGGCAGCCAGACCGGTCACGACGACGAGGATCTGTTCAAAGAAAGACTGAAAAATATGGGCAAACGTAAGTGCAAGTGGAAGATGATCCTGTTCTAATCAAAATCCATGTACACGCGGCTCGTTTGTTTTCTCTAACGATGTACCCACTCTTTTTGCAGTATCCCGACGTAAATTCGCGCAACTTACGAAGGTGTTCACTCGCAGCAAGAAACGCGGCGGCAGGCAGTTGTTACCACCGACGGCTTCTTGCGACGATCTCCTGGACCCGGAAGAATCATCCAAGCCACAATCCTAAGGAGAGATCTGTACACCCGATCCCGCTGGAATATTTGCCCTTGGTCTCTGCCGTCGTCGTGAGGACGGCAAAATTCAACGGCGTTTGCAGCTTGATGTAATTTAGATGTCGTACGTCGCGGAAAAGAAGCATATCTATATGCCGAGAATTTACGAGAGACGAGATAACTAACGTCAGGGTCGTGTATGATATAAGTTAATTAGCGATTCAGGTTTCTAGCTCACACTTGACGGCTGGCAATTAGCTGCGGAGATAATGGAATTGCAAGGTTAGTGAGGAAAAACGGAAAGACTCACCGGGAACGAAGTGAGTATCGAGTATAAAACGCTTGAGGGGAAAACACGATAAAAAAAAAAATTATCAAAAAATCCGTATCTCGGTAATTATACAGATATACGTAGGGATTAATTAATCTTAAAGCATTAATCAATCTTAGTGCGTTAATTAATCTTAATGTATTTTCTAGTAAGGATGCAGACAGATCTGTTTCTGGTAAAAATTCAGTGTGATATTTTACGATGTTATAAACGTAAATTTTATTTTATTAGATTTTATATTTTGTTGTGACGTACGTTGCTCGCGATTATTATTGCGTATTATTGCGTATAATCGTTCGAAGACTGACACAAGAAAGTTTCGCAGAAATCTATCGAGCGGCAGTCTCGGTAGAGTTTTATCATTGAAAAAAAAAAAAAAAGATAAATTCAAATTAAGAACGAATCGTCATCGTTTCGCTTAAGCGTGGCGATTAAAACAGATAAAATTTTTATTGTACGCAAAGTACGCGACGCGCGTTTGCTTTCTAGCATATACGGCTACGAAAGTAATTTATGTTGTGTATATATATATATATATGTCTATGTGCATCGTACGCCGATAGTGCGTTAATAATGTTAATTAGGCACAATAGTTTGTTGAAAATTTTAAAAAAGCGCAACATCGATTCGGATTGGGAAGAAAATGTGAAAATCCGATTCTCTTTTGAAAATTTGATTCTCGAGAAGACGGAGATCTGGCCCGGCGAGATAAATAATTGATTCGTCGAAGAAAAAAAAATGGATGAAGGCTTACGTTATATTCATACGAAATTTGCATTATTGTAGATAATTTTTCAATGTCTCATTGAAGCGTTCGCTATTAGTTCGGTGTTGCGATGAGTGAGTCAAATTCAAAATTTGAGACATTACACATTTGTTAAGACGCCTTCATGCATTTATCCTTTCGATTCTACTTGCGACCGCGAGTGGCAATTGCACCTCTTTTAGACATAAAAACCTAGTCATTCTGTCTAGCCATTATTTATTGAACAGAGCTCTGATATTGTAACGATATTGTGAATGTAGAAAATATTTATAAAAAAACCGATCGTAGACAGTCTTAAGTAATTTACAACATGCTATGACGACAAACACGTTATGAGAATAAATCGGAAGAGATGCTGGAATAAGAGATTATATTTATTCAAAATTTTTTCGTTCGTCTAATTATTCAAAAATTAGGGACGAAATAGTTTCGAAGCACAGCATCGTGACCTTGTGCCGACCATTTTTCTCCTGATAATCAAAATCGGCTTGGATGGTCCAAGAACACAGTAGCGAAATATCAAAATGAGCAGATTGTCTTGCGTTACGTATCAGGTTGCTTGAAGAACACCCTGGCACCGGAGAGACTGTAGTACAACAGTTGGAACTCGGCGTTTCTCTCGGTGAGACGTTGGAGCGTGAGCGCTCTGGTTTGCTGGAGCTTCTCGTCGCCGTGATCGTCCTTGCGCTCGGCGGCGAGCCTCTCCTGGGCGACGTGCTGCTCCACCGTCTTGAACCAATGGAGACCGTCCAGCTCGGCGCTCTGGTCGAGCAGCGCGTTGATGTAGGCGATACCCATGGCAAAGCCGTCGTCGGTGAAAGCCGCGCCGGTCTGGTTCTTCTTGAACATCTTCTCCTTGTTGGATACGGAATTGTCGACGAAGCTGAGCGTCAGCGGCGGCACGATGACGTAGAACTGCTGCAGGTGGTAGGACTTGGCGTCGCGGAACGCCGACGCGAACACGTCGACCAGCAGCTTGAAGTACTGAATACCCTCGGTGAAGTTGCGCACCAGATCGGCGATGTCGTTCTCCAGCCGTCTGGCCGCGGCCTGCGTCGTGGCGCTGTAATTCAGTCCGCGACAGAGCGATTCGAACGGCACCGTTTTCTCGATATCCGGCAAGAAGGACACCGCGTTAGAGCTGGCGTGGAGGCCGCCGGAACGGATCAGCCGCACGTAGCCGAGTGCGTTGCCGATCTGCGTGATCAACTGACGAAATTGATCGAGGTAACTCAGCCCGTCGGCGGTCATCCCCAGTTTCCGGATACCCTTTTGGAATTTCTCCGCACGTTCGTACGTGTACGGAGCGGCGCCCGCTTCCCGTTGCGCCCGGACGAACCTGATGTCGCGCATCAGTCGCGACTTGATGTGCTCGTCGAAGAGGAATTGCGAGAAGGTGTGCAGTTTCACGCGCAGAAACTGGTAAACGAAATTCACCGTGGTGCTCATGATACCGGTACCGTGGGTACGAATTGAATTGGCGATATGCCGGATGCCGATGGTGTTTAGATGCTTGTTGCCGCTGCTGTGTTCCACGAACGTTTGCGTGTTCAGGTTGTATAGGTACCTGCAACGAGACGATATAAAAAAAAAATACATTGATTAATTTCTAAATTATAAATTATATTTTATAATTATGAAAAAATTCTTATGCAATTCTATTTAATTCAATTCTGATTACCTGGAAACGAACACGTGGATATTGCGCATAATCTCTAGAGCGTCCAGGCCCTGTTCGAGAGTCTGCGTCGGCAAATGGTCCTGCACCGTGTCCAGGCCCATTTTATAGCTGGCCAACGCGTGCATCGTCCGATAGGTTCTCCAATCGTGCAGGGCCACTGTCGTCAGATTGTAAAACATATCGTCCAGATAATGTTCGACGAATCTCTTGGTGCAGACCATGCTCTCGGCCAAGGGCAACGGCAAGATTCGCACCACCCTGCTACCGTCTTTCGCGCCGATGTTGAAGGGATTCGTGGAATCCAGTTTGAGATGAGCGTGCACGTGCAGCCGTAGACTAGTCTCGATCTCGTGGCAGGCCGGTTTCAGTACACTCTTCACCAGGCTCTCGCGGAGTTCCGCGATGCGTTTCATCCTCAGCTCGGCGAACTCCTGCTCGCTCACGGCGCTGTTGAAGGCGGCGAACAGATGTGCGACGTGGTTGACGCCGGCGTTGCCGTCGACGACCGAGGAGAGGTAGGCGGGCAGCACGTTCTGATGGTGCAGCAGCAGCGAGTAGTCGCCGTATTCGTCGACCAGCTCGTACAGCTCGGCCACGGCGTCGTAATTATCCAGGAGAAATCGCAGTTTCACCACGTCCTCCTCGCGGAAGGTGTCGGTCAGCTGGGTGGCGCACGCCAGGGCGCAACGCACTATCAGCCGTCTGTCCGCGCTCGCCGGACCGCCTATCAGCCGCATACTCAGCCCTATCAGCGACAGCGCGTCCAACCGTTTCCTGCTGTAACTCTTGTCTCTTTGCACGAGAGCCTTGCGCGCCGTCTCCAGCATGACCAGCATGTAGTAAGCCAGGTACTGCAACACCTGCGCCTGCGACTGCACCACGACCGGGCCGAGCGCGTAGAACGTCGTCTGCAGGGACTTCTGCAGCTCCACGAGTCTGCAGATCAGCTGCACCGTGCCGCGGCTCATCGGCCGCGACAGCGAGGCGTGCAGATTCGTCACGAACGCGACGGTCTCGCGCATCTGCGCCAGCAGTGCCAGCAAATCCGTCAGCAGCGTACGCTTCTGCCCGATGTCCGACACCTGGAGATTGGTCCTCGTGAGGATGCTCTGCATCTCCACGCACCAGGTCGTCCCCCGCTGCACCAGACCGCTCACCGCGACCGACAGTCTTTGCGTCCTCGCCTGCAGAATCTTCTCGCCCACTTGCGGGCTCACCGCGCCGCCGCCGCCGGTTTCCTTCGGCACGACGTTGCCGAGGAACTTGCTGGGTACCCACATCACGTTCCCCACCAACGTGACCGCGTAGAATCTCTTGTTGGCCTCCAGCACCCTCTTGATCAGCTTCCTGTCGCAAGCGCCGAACAGCTTTATCACCACGGCGACGCCGACGTTGACCCTTATCCAGTTCTTGTTCAACGCGGCGTAGTCGTTGGACTTGCTCTCCACATCCGTGATCATGTTCTTCAGATAACTGACGATCTGCTCGCTCATGACCGCGCCCTTGTTCACGTCCATCACGTGCTCGATCGCCTTCAGAAACGTATTCCTCCGCAGCAACTTCTCCTGCAGATCCTTGAGCAGATGATCGAACGTCTCCAGTTTCGTCTTGTCGACGCCGAACTGCGACGGGTTGTGCATCATGGAGCGCACGTGCATCCTGTACTTCTTCCACTGATCCAGTATCGCCGGCTGAGCGTCGACGATCTCGTCGAGAGTCACGAGTATCACGAACAGATCTACGAAGCCCTCGAGCAGAACGGGCAAGTAGATCTCGTGGACGGCGCCGGATAGACTTGCCAACTGTTGCGTGGTCAGGTGCACGACGGCTGACATTCTATTGGTGAATACGGACAGGTCCAGGAGATCCGACAGGAGTTTCGTCACACCGTCGACGAGATCGTCGTCCATGCACCTCTCCCCGTGGGCGAAGAGCTTCGCGTAAAAGCCAGCGGCTTCCACCTTCAGTAGTCTGATTTCCCTGCACGTTCCCGCGATCGCCGCCAGCAGCTTGGACAGAACCTTATTCTCCATCTCCACCAGGGAGAGGATGCCAATGTCCTCCGTTGTTTTGTAAACCAGACGCAGTGGACCCTCTATGATGTATTCCAACGTCGAGTCACCCTTCCAGGACTTCTCCACCAGATTCTCAAAGAACTCCCCGTACTTCCGCAGGTGCATAGCACCCGCGGCCTTGTAGATGCTCTCATCCTTCTTGGAGTTCCACTGGGTCGGTGCCTCTATCATTTTTTTACTTATCAAACCTGCGACACCGGCAATTTGTGGTAATTATCGGAGGCACTCTAATTACAAACTTTTTATGATTAATACACGTATCATAAATTTATAGAAATATGAATTTATAAACATACTAAAATTCTCCTTCTCTTTTTATTTCTCTCAATAAAATTTATTTGATATACAATATAACTCACCTTATCTATCATATACATATATTTATACTTTTTTATATTATTTATTTTACGCATGTAAATTTAACAATCATCAACATTGCTCTGTTTCTACATAGTATCTGATCCATTGTTGTTTTTCTTTCCAACATCAGCTCACACACACCCCACAATCAGCTGTCATTGGCATATACTCGATCAGGCGGTTTATCATTACGTCCTACTGTTCGCGATAGATGGCAATTCAAGAGAGTACCGACAGCTGATATTTCTCACTCAGTTGGTTAAATATCGCGAACGTATAGTTAATACATAATATATAATAGCGATGAAAAAATCAGTCTCTAATTTGTGCCATTCGAATGTTGTTCGTAAAATTTTTTATCATCTCAAACGAGGATTGCGAAGTAACAAGTAAATAATTTTGTCCGTATCGATATTTCGTTTTTATTATATCAGTACAAGACGTTATTTTATTTTTAAACAAAGCGAAATAGAAATTATATGATGCCGATTTTGTTGGCGACATCGAGCGCGTCGTAGTCGCGCGTCAGGCGCACGTACGCCTTCTTCCTGCCGTCCGGCCTCATCAAAGTGTTCACCTTCGCTACGTCGACGTCGTAGAGCTTCTTGATCGACGCCTTGATGTGATACTTGTTGGCGCGGTCGTGCACGATGAAGACCAAGGTGTTGTTGTCCTCGATTTTCTTCATCGCCGCTTCCGTCGTCAACGGGAATTTTATGATGTTAAACGCGTCCATGCTGAAATACACAAGTCGCAGGGATGCAACAATTTCTCGAAAGACAATCCATACATACACACGTTTATTTTAGAATTTCGAGCTGAATTCATTCGAAGAAATTCAAAGCCTCACCGATTTCTGTTCGGCACAGACTTGCGCGGATATTTAGGATTTCTCGGCGGCCTGAAAGTCTTGGGCCTGTGGAAGTGAACGGACGTCCTGATCTTCCGCACCCTCGAGCCATGAACTCCCTTCAGGATCTGTGAAGCAAGAAATATGACTGTTAGATCCACAATATCTAATAGCGCTCACGCACAGCGTGTTCTTCGATTGCTCAGCACTGTGTTAAAAGTTATTTTCACGGAAAATCAAAGAGATTCCCACACTTGAATTCATCATGGAAAGGTGATTCGCTTAAAAATACCAGCAAGATAAATGTTTGGTAAAATTTCTGTTTCAAGGTACCTTTTAGTTTCAAGTACTGTGTTAAAAGTTATTTTCATGGAAAATCAAAGAGATTCTCACATTCGAATTCGTCATGGAAAGGTGATTTGCTTAAAAATACTAGCGAGACAGATGTTTGGTAAAATTTCTGTTTCAAGGTACCTTTTAGTTTCAAGTACTGTGTTAAAAGTTATTTTCACGGAAAATCAAAGAGATTCTCACATTCGAATTCGTTCATGGAAAGGTGATTCGCTTAAAAATACTAGCGAGACAGATGTTTGGTAAAATCTCTATCTCAAGTACCTTCTTCTGGGCCTTGAGGGCCTTCTGAAGCGGAGCCGCTGGCTTTCCGCCCTTCGGGGTCTTCTTCGCGGCCTGCACATTCTTCTTCGGCTTGCTGATCAACGGCTTGCTGGCGAGCTTGAGCACGGGCTTGGCCGCGGGCTTGGCAGCCGGTTTGGCGGCGGCCGCCGGTTTGGCAGCCGCCGGCTTCTTCGCCGCCGCAGGCTTCGCCGCGGGCTTCGTCACCTTCGAGGTGGACGCCGCTGTGGCTGGCTTCTTCTCCGCCTTCTTCTCGGTCTTCTTCTCCGCAGGCTTACCTACGAATGCGAGAGCGATACAGAACACAACTGGATTGGCAATCGCGATTGTCGTGTGTAGTCGTTCACGAATTAACGTCTCGTCGGAAAGAACGAGCGTCGAAAGTGTGTCCCGAATTTGCGTTACCCTCAAGAATACCAGCAGGCGAAATCTGTACTTCCACTCTCCGGGTTCGCCAGTTTACCTTTGTAGGTTATGGTACGCGCGAATGCTACATCAGACGAAACCGCTGCCGAACGTGTCGCGTGGCGGGCACGATTCGCGGAGAAAAGTCGGATAGAATCACCCCGTGGAACGTTCCTTCGAAGATTGTCGTCGCCGTCGTAAACGCAACGTTGGAAAACGTGCGCCCGTTCGACCACATGGTCACAGAAACCGCGCTTCCCGATCCGCGCGCGACATCATTCCAACGTCGATACATTATATTACATTAATCGACGAGGTGCCAAAAAAGGTCTTTCATCTCAGAAACGCGCACTCGAGGGAACGAACGTCACGAATCACTCGCAAACCTACCTGCCTTCTCCGTGGGCTTCGGTTTCGGAGCCATTTTTGCTGGAAAGGAACGTCAATCCGTGCAGGCGGAAGCGTGGATCCCGTCCGGCACGATCCGACTACTACGCTAGTTGTTGATCGACGAAAAAAGAAGAGGGCGACACCGACTTAATTCCGGATCGATTGGCGACTGATTTAACCGCGGTGGAATCATTAGAATCATTAGAGTAAGCTTTTTTCCGATTTACGTGACTCACTGTCGCTGATTTAATTTTCCACACAAAAAATTAGTGAATTTCCATCTTAACGGAATAACAACTGGATTAAAATTGATTATTTGCTCGTTATTGTCAACAATATAAAATTTGAATTAGGTTATAAAGACGATTTGAGCTCGTCTTTGACCAAATTTTATTAATGTTAATAACTATATAGATTACTTGATATTTAAGTTGCCAATTAAAAGCTAATTGGAAATTAATTCAATCAGCAGAATTTTCTGAAGCAAAAAAACTCCGAATTTGTCGTCTCTGCAATCTGATGGAGATCAAATTCGGACGCGGTATGTATAAAGAGATTAATTTTGTTTGTCCCCGTGAATGAGAAAAATAATTTTACGATAAGTACCGGCGATGTTTTTCAATTATTTTTGTCGTACTGGATAAAAATAAATTGCTCACGCAATTCTAACGCAATAATTTATTCCAGGCATGATACACACACGTTATTTTCCACATACAATTACGCGCCCGTATACGAGTCTCCCCTATGCACGTGTCACAAGCGAACACCTGCCGCAGCAACCAATGTTTTTTGTTTACCAACTCGAGTGCGGAATCAATCGTGTACGTCCCTACTCCACACCGCGGCGGACGCCCATCAGTCTCTCATGGACAGTGTTCAATAACATCGTACGAAAAAAAAAGTATCAACAACATGCGACGCAAAACTTACAGCTACGCATTTGCAATGAAAAAGCGTGTCCTTGCTTCGCTTTCTTGAGCGTTTGATTTCGAAAGGAGCGATATGTTGGAAACGCGCTCCGCGATTTACAAAATGATGAAGAAAGAGGCACACGATGAGAGGCAGGTAAACAAAACTCGTCCGAATTAATTTTGACCCTCAAACAAATAAATCTAGTCTCTCTCTCTCTCTCTCTCTCTCTGATTTTCGCCTTTCACCAATTATAGATAACCGATTGGCCGCCACCGTTCTCGTCCGAGGCCACGCCGTACAACGAGAGTGATTTCGGCAGCTTGGTCAGACGTACTTGCGAGAGCAAGAGCTTGACTCTCCGTATCTCCAAGGTGATCGTCATCGGCGACGTCGCCGTCGGCAAGACATCGCTGGTGAATCGGTAATGGTTCGGCAATGCTCATTTATATTGTTGTTTAAGTACGAAATTGAAAAATTATTTCTTTCGCGATCTAAAAAAAAAAAAACTCGGAACGATAAGACGAATTACCGCACGTCGCTTTGTCGCAGCTTCTGCCACAGGCTCTTCGATAACAATTACAAGGCCACCATCGGCGTGGACTTCGAAGTGGAGCGATTCGACATCCTCGGCGTGCCTTTTCACTTGCAAATGTAATGAAGCCCGATATCAAGCATATTCGTGGTTATATATATATTTACAAGCATGCAGAACTATAATATATATTATTCGAACTTGCAGATGGGATACCGCGGGGCAGGAAAGATTCAAGTGCATAGCGGCGTCTTATTATCGCGGCGCTAATGGTGAAAATCCCTCCTTTCGTGCACAATCTTCATCTATATACGTATACCTATTTTGCATTTTTTTTACAAACATTTCATTTCAGTAATTATGGTCGTTTTCGACCTGGGGAACCTGATGTCGCTGTTGCACTGCCAGCAATGGTTGAACGAGGCGAGCCGCAGCAACATTGGTCATCATCACATTTTTCTAGTCGGCGCTAAGAAAGACTCATTAGTGAGTAATATTTATTAATTATATATAAGTATTGTGTATCCTGCTGTTGTCTTTATTATATACTAATCGCTCCTTCTTTCGGGAAACCGCCCAGTCTCACCCGGTGTACGAGATAATCGAGAAACGAGCGGTCGAGGCGGCGAGGAGGATGCGGGCGGAATATTGGGCGGTCTCGTCGAGAACGGGCAACGGGGTGTCCGAATTGTTCACGCGGGTCGCCGCGCTCTCCTTTCACGCGATGGCCCTGCGGGAGATGCAGAGCCTGAAGCTCGAGCCGATCAACATCGGCTTGGCGACGACAATCAGTGAGTAGAAATCTGAAAATCAACACGGATTCGACAAGCTATAGAAAATGTATAGGAGCTCCTGGTAATCACAAAGTAAAGACAAATGATCGATCGGTACTCTATTTTTTTCCAGCATTGAAGGGGCATTCGAGGACCGAGATGAAGCGACACAGACCGCCGAAATGCTCCAGATGCCCGACGTGACGGCGGAATTTTATAAATATGATGAAATATGATAAATAACGAACGACAAGAAATAGGAAAGGGAGTAAATAAAAACGGTCAGTGAACAAACAACAACGTGCGCTCGCATGCTGACTATAACCATCAAGAATTTCGATTCTTTTCGGTTATTCTACAGCCGGAATAGGGTAGCTGACGTCCCTATTAATGTGCCCTGTACCTGTTAGTAGTGTGCTTTTATGTTTAAATAAGTCATAAAAATGAACGGGTACAAATATATTAAGTATTTTTTTTTTATTAAGTTAAAGTATTAACTTTATAAAAAAAGAATACTGTGTTTGTATATTTGTACCAGTTTATTTTTATGACTTATTTAAACATAAAAGCACACTAATAGGGACCAGTTACCCTAAGCCGGAGAAACGAGAGATCGAAGTGTCGCGCGACTTATCATCCGCGCTTGAATCCGGCCACGCGCCTCCGGGTATTGCCGCTCGGCGGCGCCGCCGTCGTCTAACGCACGCGCGCAATCTGCACTCTGCAGTTTTTCTTTCGCACACGGTCGACGAATGACACGACACCAAAAGAGAGCAACGGCGATACCCGCACGGCGCCGACCGTCGCCGATCGTGGCCGATCGTCGCACGTACGCCGCGCTCCCCGTCGTGTTGTCCTCACGTCGCGCGCCGGAAATTCGCACTCGCTCCTCGTCGTATTCGTGCGCCTCCAGCGGAACGACGCAGCGTCCGTCACGTGGCTGTCGCTATTGGAGACCGGCGAACGAGCAACGGACGTTTACCCGAATAACCGGTCGGCCACTCCAAGGTAAATTTCGAACTGCATACCGCATAGCATTCCTACAGGTGACAAAGCGGGTGGGGGCGACGTGCCCGTCTGGTTAGGGGAGTTGGCGACGGAGGAGATGGAGGAGAGAAGCCGCGAGTCACGTGACCGTTAGAAGCTCGGTATTACGCGGCGACTACTTATATAGGCGAATTTTGCGATCGTCCAGCGAGAGAACGCGGACCAGAGAGAGGCTTTTGCGAAGTACATATACAGACACGCGCGACCTTTCACGCGCAATCAAATTCCAATGACGCTTTTACTCGGGTTTCCGGAACTATCGATAAATTCGTAGAAGTAGCTCAGCACATTCGCGCGATGAGTTTCGCCCAAACGGAGTGACATATGTAGATTGTCTTCGAGTCCCTTGGCAGGACAACATATGTAAATATATAGATTATCTACTTTGAGTACTCCTGTTATCAGTAGATCCAAGTAATGGTTCACGACGCCACATGTGTCGGACAGTCGGTATCTCGGATGACGTGTAAGCAGCGTGTGTCCGTTCGATTGCATAATCGTCCCGCGATTCAAACGTGTCATTCGTGAACGAAAAGGGGGGTCCGATTGACGGGTGAGTTTACGCGCGTCGGGGATCGTTCGATTCCTCCCGCACGCTGCATCAGATATCCACGTGCGTCATAGGCACGCGCGAGGAGCTGCGAAGATAAATGACTTTCAAAAACGATTGCTCGGATGAGAACAATAGCCGAGATTACTGCGCAGAGAGCTCGATCCGTATCTTCGATTGTTATTTCCGCGAATGATACAGGTAAGACGCGAAGAGCAAAACTTCGCTTCTCGATTTCGCAAGCTCGTTCCACGAGTTATCAGATATCGCGCGAATTTTTCGATTGTATCCGAGATTCTGGTGATAGACGTGTTTCTATCGTGTCATCCCTCCATCCGTGTGTGCGTGTGTTACGTATGGCGCGCGCGCGCGCGCGCGCGTGCTTGAGTGAAACGTGCGCAATTAGCGTGGAGAGAAATGGACAATATACGTGCGGGGGCCTTGCATCAGTTTGCAGGAGTATCTTATCGAAATCCGCTTTCACTGCTCGCGAACGAAAATCGCGGCGGTGCAACCAAACGGCACAAGAGAATTTTTTTTTTTCCATCACATTAAGATAATAATTGCCGCGGACGCCGCGACGCTTGCAGGCTCCTCGTGCAGGGGCGATTCGATTAGAGGAGAGATTCCGGGTTTCGGTCCAATCACGGGCGGTCAATAACAAAATCAATTAAAGTATATTAAGGAGTAGAAAGAAAAGTATATTAAGGAGTAGAAAGTTTCAAGAAACATGGAGAGATCAATCTTGACTAGCCGCTATTCGGTACAAAGGGAAATCGCTGACTATATCACTGACATGTTAGAAGAATGTCCGGAAGAATGTACGGAAATATTTCTAGGAATTTTGAATTTATTTAAATTCTTCCCTGAGAAAAAACTCGGTCAGTTATCTTATTGCCTATTTACTGATACTTCTTTATTCTTTTGTAGGCTGCATTTCTATATCAATGTAGAGATTAGACTTTAATCTCGATTTAATTTACTCGTTATCTCTTTTCAATTCTTAGAATAATTCTTAGAGAAGAGGATGATAAAAGTGAGTCAGGCACTTTAGATTAAAGTAAATCTGCGACTAGACGATGGAGTGATAAAGACGAAACGGACAAAGGGAAGCTCGATTTTTCGAACTTTTTTTCTCTCGATTTCTTTAGATTTCAGATCTCGTTTGGAAGGTTGAAATATCTTAGATATCTTTCCGCGGCAAGACAATCAGATTAAAAACGTGTGTCTGATCTTTGATCCCGAATGCATTATTCAGGCTCACCGGTCGCGACAAGAGGCATTATCGAGATATCGCCATGTGTGCCGCTCGGCGGCGGTCAGCTCATGTTACATCGAACGTGCGTCTGCGTTAATCGAAATCCCTCGTGGAAATACGCGGGCAGAAGTGAGCGACCTTGGATCTCGCACGCACGCGCTGTACATTTTGTTCCGCTAGCAGCAGACGATTCTTAGTTATGATGGATCGTCGACAATATCGCGCCGTTGCACGGACGTGTGTTGTCAAATATTCCGATTGATTCGAATTGTTCAACTTAATTCAATGGGTATTTCCTGTTAAACTCGGTTTCGGCGAAATGTAAGATGTCACGAATACAATTTCAAACGTATTAATTTTTTTTGTACATAACTTGTTTTCATGTTAATCTTGTTTTTTTTTTAGGCAAGAGATTGTCATAAATTTATATTCTTTATTCAATGTTTTATACAGATTTCAAAAGATGCTTCACGTGTCATTTTTTCTCTGTACTTCCCCGACTTTCCTGAGGATTCATTAGACTTTTAAATAGCTTGACGATATAGGGATCCTCATCGTAGGCTTTCGCTTCTTTCCCGATCTCCGTCCGCTTCGGACTAGGCGACGCCGATTTTCTGTCTTCACGTTTCGGATTCGAAGTCGAGGTCGTCTCGATCTCGATGTTCGCCTCGTCGTTTTTCTCTTCGTTGCTTAAATCCTACATTTTCAAGAAACACACAATGCCCCTTTTCGCGTGGATACGTCGAAATCGCGCGAATTCGAACGAAATCACCAAGAATTTCGCTGACGTTATTTTTACCCGATGTTATCTCTCGCCAATACCGAGTTTCGACCGCGTACGCAGTGATGGATGTTTAATTTCTACATATCGCTAACCACGTACTCTTCTCAAATTATATTTTTTGTTCAATATTTTGTCTTGCGTGCTGATTGCGCGTTTAAATATACATTCGGTTAGATAAGCTGGAGTAGGTAATCCAACTTTAAGTTTTTAGAGAACAATTTGTATTGTTGCACAAGGATTTGGTTTTTAAATTATAAATTATATACGGTTTTTAAATTATATTACGAAATGAAACGAAGCGGCAGGCGGCGGGGAAAAAATATCATCGGCCTTGCTCGTAATTTCATATCTCCTTTTGAGCATGAAAGCGACATATAAATGTATATAGAACACGGATTTCTATAGAATACTTTAGATCGCTAGCTCCGAGAAATTAAGTGAAGTCGAGTAAGGCCCGGTTTTACAATTCACGGTAAACTCGATTTAACTGGAGTTCAACTTGCTTTATCCTTTTCTAATCTAAGAATTAGATAGAGAAAACAGTAAGTTAAACCGAGTTTAAAGTTAATTTTATATTTGTGGAATCGGGCCTAACCCAGGAGAGGAGATAGCATATTTACAGTTACAGTCTAAAACATCAAAACCTATATTATTAAATATAATTGCTAACACTATATCTACTTCATAAAGCATTGTACGTGATCATCGGATAAACATGGCGTCTCGGCTTCAATTTAAATGATAAACTATAGAATATTAGCGATGTAGGTATTCTATAGAAATTTGTAATATAGAATGCTTTAACCTGTGCTACTCCTCTTTCGAGTTCGTCACTCGTCTTATCAGTCTCGCTCGACATGATTTTTGGGAAGCCGCCGAGAAATTTAGATCAAAAGATTCGCTTTGCTATTAGTCAGCACTTTCGCTTTTTGTCAGCTAGTGTTTTAACTTCTTTTTCAGTTATAACTGTGTGACCATGAATTTTAATTAATTATTTGACATCATGCTCGACATTTCGTTTTAACAAGGTGTTTTAAAATTCAGTTGCTATAAATTATAAATTCTAACTCGCCTGCTGGTTGCTGTCGTGAGAGTAGAAAAAAGGCTGACAGCGCGTGAAGAGACATCATGACGAGCATGCACCGGTGATTAAAACTGTCCCAGTCTATCAGCGCCATTATACAGATACAAAATACGAGCGGAGTAAAGTGAGTTGACGAGCTGCAAAACTCTGTTCGTGAATTATTTATGAAATTTTGACGGGAGACTCATGTTGAAAAAACAAAGAGGCGAAAGGCATGAAAACGCTCGATAAACGGCTCACACGGACATGATAAAACAACTGAGGTACAGCGAGACTTCGAGTGTTTTATTTAAACGATATTTTTATATGTGCTAAAATATAGTTGAGTCACACCGCTTGACATGCACGTGACCGACGTGTGATAGCTCCGGCGAATTCGACGAAATTGCTCATAAAGTTATGCTCCAGTAACACATACATATGTAACTAACGTGATAAAGCAATCGTAGCCTCCGCAGTTACGATCGCCGTAGATTAGATGCATGACGTACGTACGGACAGTATATATCACCGGACGCGTTTAAAAAAACTGACCTTGCTGCTAACATTGTAATTCCCTGCTGTATATATCCTCTCCCTGTATATTTCCTCTCCCGAACCGCCGCAGCTCTCGTCGGACGAGATGGTGAATTCGTACCACGTTTCGAAGTATACTTAGAGATATTTTATTCATCATTTCTTGCTGACAAATTGATCAATAACTCATCCATCGACGGCGTCAGTGAAAAAATATTGCTAACCGTGAGACTTTTTCAGACATGCTGTTTGCATACAATACCCTTCCCACCTTTTTCCTTTCTGTTCGTTCGGAAGGAAAAGGAAGAGAGCGTTGGAAACGCTGGATTTTGCGTGCGGAGTAAAATTATAATTAAACGTGTGTACGCGGCCCGCCGCGTGAAATGTATCTATGTTTAATTGCGACGGTAGAAAATTCTTTTCGTCGGTATCATGTCGAGTGCTGATAATAAAACAAAAAAAAAAAGAACCGGCTAATTACGTAGTTACATTGCATGTCTCTTTTCACCGGGCTTCCTCTTATTGACTTTCACTTTCCCGTCCGCACGACAACGAACTTCCATCTGCATATTTTGCACACACCGCACCGCGCGGTATTTGTACGGGTGCGCCGCGAATTTGCGGCAGATTCCGGGATCGAGCGCAATTTTATTATATATTTTGCTTAACAAAATGATAACGCGCAATCTCTTCGTCTTGACATGAATCACAAATGATACGCAGGCTGTTAGCATATATTAATTATATATGTATATACAATTAATACGCAAACGTATACCTACATACATATATAAATACTGTTATATATACACTTAGGAAATTTATATTCGAAGACTCAACAGCTTAACTTTATCGGTGCTCGACTTTGTTTTCGAAGAATCTTCTAATCTTTGATCCTTCACATGATTCATCACAAAAAGGTCTTGTGTCATCCAAGGAGAGATTTTAATAGGAGTGTCATCCAAGGAGAGATTTTAATAGGCGATATCGTTTTGTATAAAGCTACAAATAAACTGAAAGTATATTTTAAATTTGTACTATGTTTACACTGCAAATTACTTCTCACGATTTAAGATTTCCAATTAATAATGAACATATAAGTATATCTTATTACATATAATTGGACGTAAGTGAGTTGTGTATGTAACAAAATAAGCGATAACTGTAATCATTTGTCCGACCTCCATATTTCCGTAAGATTTCTCAGCTTACAGGATATTATCCATATTTCCGTTTCAGCTTACAGGATATTACTGAGATGTTTAATTTTGCGATTTATATTTTTCATTAAAATTATACTATATACAATTAAATTCTGCTGTTATCTTTTACAATAGCAAGTATAATAGAAACTTTAAGAAACGGCTGAAGGTTGTCGAAAAGTTAATGAAGATGCATGCTGCAAGTTTTGCATAACTGAATTTTTCTCTAGATATAATTTTCTTAGGAATTTATAATGTATGAAAAATTATACCGAAAAAAGTATATTATATATGTGTGAAAAATTATGAAAATGTATGAAAAATGATATCGAAAAAAGTGTATATAATATATTTTATCATATATATAATACTTTTTTCGATATAATTTTTCATACATTATAGATTCCTAAGAGAATTATATCTAGAGGAAAATTCAGTTATGCAAAACTTGCAGCATGCATCTTCATTAACTTTTTTCGATAGCCTTCAACCGTTTCTTAAAGTTTCCATTATACTGACTATTGTAAAAGATAACCGCAGAATTTAATTATATCGAAAAAAGTATATTTTATAATATACTTTTTTCGATATAATTTTTTTGTGCATGATTTTTACGAGTGTGCTGCGATTTCAGCAAATTCCGGGATTTAACGCAACTTTTTTGCTTAAAATAATATCACGCGATTGGGCAACCTCTTCGTCTCGACATAAATCACAAATGATATACATAGATACAAATAATGCATGCGTATTAATTTCATACATATATATAAAAATGATATATATATATATTTTTTTTTATATTATTTTTTTTTCGATTATGAAACTGTAATTCGAGGACATAATTCTAGCGTGCTCGAAAGTTAATAATTACAAATTAAAATACGTAGGAAGGAATCGCAGGGAAAAGAAGTGACAGACGCGTAGCGCGGTCATTTCCCGGTTAAGTAAGATAGTGATGTATGTTGTTATTAGAACTGAAGTGCTATTTAAGCGTTCGCAGTTTGCGAATGACGATAGACCGTCGCGATTAATATGACGAAATTCCAAGTTCTATAGACGGCTGCATCGTACGTTGACGATTCCCGGCTTACGTCATGTCCATCCTATTATTCGAGCAAAATTTGCATGTAAGAGCATAGAGCTTGCGCATAAAGATCAATCGACTTTAGTTGCGACAATAATCAGAATACATGTCTGCGTCATAGTTACATAATATTCATTAATTTGACGAACATAACCGACTGATTTTTAAATTTATGTAACCGTCAGGCGAGCACGTGCGACTTCGCACGTATGTCATAGAGCGCAAGAAAGTTCCTCGTGTGTATATTGTATGTGTGAACGAGCGAGGAAAATGCCGAAGAATTTCTAAGCGCGAAGCGGAATTCTCCCCGCGGTTTCGGGATCTCGTTAATTTTGCACGTAACGCAAGGAAAATGATACGCGGCAGACGGGCCTTTTCGGACGGAAGTGCACATAGTAACAATGAACGTTCGATTACACGTAAGTAGGATGACTTGTCACTTTGTCGCGATGGCCCGTGTGTCGTGTATTGCACGACGACACGTGTGTATATGTATACCGACGTGCGACCGTGTCCCCGCGGAATCCACCGTCCTGCCCGCTTCCTCGGTAAGTCGTGCCACGACTGCAAAGGCACTTGGTGCAGTCACACGGAGCGCTTCAGTTCACGTCAGTTGTGCGCCGATCGTTGTTGCGGGAAGTTCGCGCGTGGCGCGTGATTGCGATCTCTCGTCCAGGCCGTCCGTCGTGCGATAACCACGTGCGCTCCGCTTGCGATATCTATCGTGAATTCCGCTCCACGATACGTTGTATACGCTCCTTCTTCGCGCACGCGCCACAGCCATGGATCTACCGGTAAGGGAAGTTAAAATAATCGAAACGCAAGGAGAGATATGCGAACTGCGAATGTCACGCGCTACGCGATGAAGAGGATTGAGGATTGCGAATTGAAGATTAGAATTCGGCCAGTCGGTTATAAGTCACGTAGCTCGAAACTGCTGCCTAGTATGTGCAATCAGTCTCTGGTATCGAGAATTTGAAAAACGATATTTAAATTTTTCCATCCATTTCGTTTTCTGATCTTGGTTGAATTTTAATATATAATTTGCAATTCCCAATCTCCAATGCGCAGTGTGAGGTAAGGCTGAAGACCGTTATCTTCAGAGATTGTGAATTTCAGGCGAATTGCGTATACATAGGTCGCGATGTATTTTATTACACTGTTAAATTTATATAGCGTCAAATTGAACCTTATTTAAATCGCCACTCCTACTTGATAAATAATTATTTTTAACTAAAACAATATAGCTATTTTTAAAACAATAGAATTTAATCTAAATTTTGGTTAAATTTGAGGTATTTTAAATTATTTAACTTCATTGTTTTAGTAAAAAATAACTATTTATTAAGTAGGAGCAGTGGCGATTTAAATAAGATTCAGTTGGACACTATAGATTTAACAGTGACACGTGTTGAATACATCAAGAGATGCTTTTACAGATGCACTTGTGTCAATAAGTAAAAATAATAATTCGTAAAAATTCATGTCGCTTCTGATAAGATACGTTGAAAAATGCAAACGAACGAAATGAAACGAATGTGTTACTAATGTTTGTAATTCAATGAGACTGTAATATCTGGTCGCGTAGGTATATCGGAGAGACGAAGGAGAGCGAGGGAATTAATATCAATGAGACGCGTTTGACAATAGCAATTGTTCAACATTAAATCACCGGATGATGCAACCCGATGGCCGGACGTTCTCTTTCACTCTTCGATTTCCAATACATCTGTGACTCGAATTAAGCTAGTCGTTGAAGTATTCTGTCTGAACGGTTGAATATAAATCGAAAATTTCAAGTACCAAGAGTGAAACCGGATGAACAGCTGGACAGTGCCATTGACCGTGTACCCTCGATATACATATATAAAAAGAAAGGACATAACGGCATCTCGAGGCTGATCGAGAAATAATACTTAAAGACGGAAGAGTCTTTATGGAGTCTGCTATTATGTCAAATTGTAATAGATATAATTTGTCGGGGTGAGACAAAAAGTTTGTTGCCGGAAGTCGGAAAATTGATGTCATAAGCGTTACGCGATAATTGAGGACCGAGTAAGTCTCCTAAACCTTTGAATCTTATATTTTTCAGTACGCAATGATTTTCATCAATTTTTTTTTAGCGATATCTGTAATTAACGGTTAGGTATGCTCGAAAATGGTACGTTGAATATTAAATTTTTACAAGGTGAACTTTATCAATTTTATAAATGCCTTTATAAGTGCCGTTTTCTGGGAAAACAATCGCGTAATTTTTCAGGACGTTACTTCATCGGCGCGAATCATTTCATTAAGTCGATCGTGAATTGCGTAACTCGTTAACAATCAGCTCTCGGAATAAACTAATAACGATTAATCAATAGATTGTGATTCTTTAGATTAGTTTGACAGCCGGCAGTGTAAATCGCGATTATTTACGATCGCGCTTATCATTTTTCAAATTCTCGCGATACCAGGAACTAATTGCATATCGAGCAACAATTTCGAGCTACGTGACTTTTTTTTTCCTCAACACGGGGCACATTTTAGAAGCGTCATCGTGACGTTTTCGGACAGTCGTGTAAATCGCGAATGGAATAAATCTAAGATAAAGCGACTGTGTAAGGTATAGATAAGCAAGAGAATGCCGACGATTACATTGCAATTATAACTGCGAAAGAACGATAATGTTCTCGATGCTCCTTAACGAACTCATTGCGCCCTTCGGACGACCGTGAAAAATGATTTCACTCGTAGTGATTTTATTTTATTCATTCGCGTATATTTAAGCGCGACGCGACGAAACTATAATGTTAATATATCTCACCGGTGGCGTTACGCAAGCCGTAATGACACAATAATTATGTAAGTTCTGTTTTTTCTTCTTCCGTGCGCTGGCAACGCTGTAATTGAGTGTTTTTTCTCGACATCAGAATGATAAAATGAAAATGATATTACGCTCTCGCGAGAGCGAGATGGCAAATTGCGGAAATATGCAGAGTAACGCCAAATAAAATGTGTACGTGACCGCTGTTATTATTATGCTATCGCGATCCTGAGTGTCATAGCCGACAATGACACCCGTTTACGAATCTCCTCTGACCCTGAATGTCGCGTGAATGACATTTCAGAAATGACATTCCGAGAACTTGTCTCAGGAGATTTGATGATCGTTCCAACACGCCGATTGTCAACAACGCGTCAGCCAGTCATTCCGCGTAATACGGTAATGAGAGTCAATAAGCGGCGATGCGGCACGAGGAAATCTCGATGCTTTTATCTTTTAACGATAATTGCGATAGGGCCCGCTGACGAGATTCGCGCAGCGCCGGGGGCTAAAGTCGAGAGTATAATAACTCTTTCTGACGGGGATGATGATGATGACCCGCAGAATCGGTCATTCTCATTTTCCTTTTGTCAGTGCCGAAGTATCAAGTGCACGTGTCCGTGGAAGGCGCGCATGCCCTTTTGCGGAGTCGGCGTCGTCCGTTCGAATCGAGATTCCTTTCTTTCACAATTAAACACAGATTTACTTCCAAACCGATAAATAAATATCTCTAACGCGGGTCATTTACTAACGAGAGTTTCACGTAAATTTCTTTCGTAAGACGGTCGGACAATCAACCTTGCGGCACATTCGTTCGACGCTCAAAACAATGACCGACGGACCATGACGCAAAAAGCCTGCGCAAAAGGAAATTGTTTGGATTTTACATGAATTTGTCGTAAGACTTAATAACTTATTCCGCAGTTTGGCGGGGCGGAGAGGGGGGGGGGGGCAAAAATAAGGAAGGAAAGAGGAAAAATGTATTATCAGGCGTAATTTCTCTAACGTGGAATATATCGACGTGTTGTAAATTGCTGCTTGAAATAAATACGTTCTCGATTCGTGTGACGTTATCACTGACATTCAACCTTGATAAAGGTGAGATAGTAAAAGTCGAGTCATGCTTTCTGTCTGCGTGTAGTTATTTTTTTGCGGAATTTATACATTTTTAATTAATAATGTAATGAGGTCAAGAACACTAGGCCGGCGTTTATCGACGCTCGTATCTCTGGGAAGTAGAAACATTTTGGACTTTGGCTAAAATTCCGAGATAGGTCTATGAAAAAAAAATGCTTACATATGAATTATATTTGATTATATTCCGCGTACTCTGCATTAATGACGAAAAGATTATATTGCTAATTAGCGATGTGTCGCGAAGTCGAAAGAAAAATGATAAGATAATGGGGAAAGTCTCAAATGTGTGTTGAATTCTATTTTTACCTCCGTCGCGAGCAAGATAATTCGGACAGGCTTACACGAGAACCCCGTACGGCTCACGCCCGAAAAGTCGTGAACTTTTGTATGTATAATACATGCCGAGATCAATCGGTCAATCAATTCGATTGTGTTTGAATCTTTCGCAGATCGCGGACGCGTCGCAACCGAAGGCTATAAGAATGCCAGGATCGTCGGAGGGCGAGAGCGGGCAGGAGGCGCAAGACGAGCCGTTTTTCAGCATCCTTGACATACTGTTGGTCGCCAGTCTCTTCCTAGCGGCGGCATGGTGGCTCCTGAAGAGAAGAAAGCGGGAGGAACTCTCGCCCGCGCCGAAGTCCTACTCTATCCAGTAATTATCCTTTTTGTTTTACGTATAACGCCTTGGATGCGTGGCTGAAGGCGTTTGCACAAAGGAGGGATCTCGCGACAGATTCGAATCGGCACTGCCGGCAGCAGTCCGGGATTTCTCGCGAAAATCACTCGAAAAAAATGTGGAGACCGGAGAGTTCGGTTAAACCGGATTTACCGGATAAAACAAAAACCAAAATCTTCCCTGAGCACGCATCCAAGGATTAGTGACGCTCTAACGCGCTACTGAACGCCTACGATTCTTCAATTGCAGACCGACGTCGTTCGCCGCGGCACCACCGTCGGAGAACTCCTTCATCAAGAAGCTGAAGACCTCCGGGAGAAGTCTGGTGGTGTTCTACGGCAGCCAGACGGGTACTGCCGAAGAATTTGCTGGTCGTCTCGCCAAGGAGGGTATCAGATACAAGATGAAGGGCATGGTGGCCGATCCCGAGGAGTGCGACATGGTACGCGAATTCTCATAGCGATTCACTGTACAAATCTTTAATCTCGCGGGAGAAAAGAGAGCGAGAGGGAGAGGACGGACTCGTGTCGTTGTTGCTGACGTTCGTTCTATGTATACGAAGATGTTTATTCCATTGAGACGGAAAGACTTGCCGAGCGAGACTTCTCGGGAGTTGTTGAGCCAATTGAAAAATTCTTCTCGTTGACTGTTAATGTATACATTTCTCGCACGTGCAGAACCGTTTACGTTAGCAGTTGTCTCGAGTCATTGGAGGCAGCCTCGCGTCGACCTTACCGCGGATGATAAATGATATTATCATCTGCGACGCAAAAAAAAAAAATTGATGAAAACGATAATGCAAGAAATCTTTTTTTTTTTTCTACGACAGGAGGAGCTGATACATCTGAAAACTATTCCAAACAGTTTGGCGGTGTTTTGCTTGGCCACGTACGGAGAGGGCGATCCCACCGACAACGCGATGGAATTTATTGATTGGCTTAAGACCGGCGACGGTGATCTCACAGGATTAAATTATGCGGTATGTATATTCTACGTGATTATTAACGAACGTATCGCGTCGTAAGTCGCGTAATGCTCAATCTTCCTCGCCTTTAATGCGTCGTGCTGCACGTGCAGTCCAAGTATTAAATTTATCTTCCACAGTAGTAGTGATAATCTGAATAATAATAATAATGATAATGGTAGTGCGACGCGGATATGACTCAAAGATACAAACGAAGCAAATAACGAATTTGCCTTCCTCTTCCTTATTTTTTTTCTATTCCTTCCGCATTCTTTTTTCCTTCCGCGTTTTTTTTCCTTCGTCCTATTTCGCTATTTTTTCCTTTGTACTTTTTCTCTTCTCTTACTTTCTTGCCTTCCTATCTTACATTCTCGGTTTAATTTCTAAATAAAAATTAGATGACTAGATTAAAGTCTATCGCCGCGCATCGCAGTGGTGCCCCCTCTCGTTCGCTACGCCATTGGGTGTTGCGTAAAAACGCGGCTCACTCAGCATGTCTCGTACGTACAGCTGGTGGCTCGCGTATTAGATACCGGTGCGTAAAATCGCGGTTTCTCGGGTAGAAAGTGAAAGTGCCGGTGTACGGTAACGTCGGAAGTACACGAGCGAGACCGCATTATCGCTGCCAATATATTTTACGGTCCCGCATTTTACGACGCGAACACGTGAATCATGAATGTCGGAATATCGTGCGATAAACTCCTTCGTCTCGTCCTGCAGCATCGTCACGTTGTCGGCGGTATCGTAGCGCGACGATGCGCCGCCGTAGCGCATGTGTCGCAGGTATCGAGAGGTACCGACGTTCGAGAGTCAACGAGAACTCGAATCGTCGAAGAGAAACCCGCGATATATGTATAAATTAATGTTGTTCTAATGTTATTAATATTTTATATTTTGTTTTTTCTTTTTAATAATTTTGAGAAATAGGCTCACTAGAATGTATCAAACATAACTTTAATGTTTGTTTTTTTTTTGTTATTAATGTTGTTTTTAACATCATCGCGTTTCGAATCTTATATGTATTACAGATCAGTGTTTCGAGTTTCGAAGGGTTTCTCTTTAATTATGACGCATTATAAACGCGTTTCAAATATTTCAACGCGTATATGGAGATATGTAGTACATAGTTCTAATGAAAAGGTGATGTCATCATGCAAGTAGATTCCGTAATTCAAATAAAATATTGTATTTTGTTTTAATATATATTTTACGCTAGCAAAACTCACGTATAATAAAATGTAAAGTTTGATATTATAGTATAAGATATTTGTAATTTTTCGTAAAACTTTTTGAAGCAGCCCTTAAGATTCTACGCCGGAATCGCCTTTTAGAAATTCTGTCGAAATCTTTCGGATGTTCTGAATCAAATCATAACGTGATCCTTTCATGGCCCACTTTAATTTTGGGAACAGCCAGAAGTTACAGGGAACAAAATCAGACGTGAATGATGGGTCAAACATTACAATGCTCTTTTTGAACAAAAAATCGCATACAATACTTTGGCTTTGTAAATCGATGCATCGTGTAACAACGGCCAAGAATCTTGCTCGCGGTATTCACGTCGATTGCGCAAAATTTTGACCCACAAACGATTAAAAAGACTCAAATAGTATTCATCGTGTGACCTTCAGAAAATGTATTCATGATGAATAATGCCTTTCGGAATCGAGGTCTTCTTTTCACTGGGACTATTGTATATGCTGCACATAAGAGGAATGTGAGATCGCACCGCCAGTAATCATTCTACATGATCATTCTATTTTTCTTTGTTTAGGTATTCGGCCTAGGTAACAAGACCTACGAACACTATAATGAGATTGGCATATATGTGGATCATAGACTGGAACAGCTGGGCGCTACGCGTGTTTGTGAGCTGGGTCTCGGGGATGATGATGCAAAGTAGGTTTCCATGGACGTGCTCCTTTTTTCTATTTCCTTTTTTTCAATTCGAAATTAATATATTTTTTTTAATTATAACATTGATTACAGTTTAGATAAATATATATTTCACTTGTCTCGCAATTCTCAATTTCTATAATTTAGAATTTCCTTTTTTTTTTAACAATTAATTTTAATGTGTTACAGCATAGAGGATGACTTCATCACATGGAAGGACAAATTTTGGCCGGCCGTGTGTGAGTTCTTTGGCATCGAGGGAGCTGGCGAGGATGTCAGTATTCGACAGTACAAACTCACGGAACACGTGGACCTGCCGACCGAGCGCATCTACACCGGAGAGATCGCTCGTCTTCATTCCTTCACGAACCAGAGAACGTAAGCCCTTATTTCCTATGGAATTGCGTAAAATAATTTCTGTTCCCTATTTTTAGAATTTTTGATCTTTTTATCTGTAGACCGTACGATGCGAAAAATCCATTCTTGGCTCCTGTGAAAGTGAATCGCGAGCTACATGGCCCAACGTCCGAGAGATCGTGCATGCACATAGAGTTCAACATCGAAAGCTCCAAGATGCGTTACGAGACGGGCGATCATTTGGCCGTCTATCCCGTGAACAACGCGGAGTTGGTGAATAAAATCGGCGAGCAGTGCGGCGCGAATTTGGATACTGTTTTCACTCTAACGAATACAGACGGTATTTACTCGCTCTTTATTTTCTTCTTACTCTCACACTTTTTTTTTTAATTTTATATGATAATGATTTGTCCATTTCTTTAAACAACCTATTCGCTTTGCAGAGGAATCCACGAAGAAGCATCCGTTCCCTTGCCCTTGCAGCTACAGGACAGCCTTGACACATTACGTGGACATTACGAGTAACCCGCGCACGCACATTCTCAAGGAGTTAGCGGAGTACACGACCGATCCCGCGGACAAGGAGAAGCTGAAGCTGATGGCGTCGACCAGCGCGGAGGGCAAAGCGGCCTATCAGCAATGGATCATTCAAGAAAATCGCAATATTGTGCACATCTTAGAGGATATTCCCAGTTTGAAGCCACCGCTAGATCATCTGTGCGAGATTTTGCCACGATTACAGTGCCGCTACTATTCGATATCTTCGTCTCCGAAGGTATCTTTTTTTTTACGTCGATTTTAAGAATGGTAAAGTGTTTTTTTTATTGAAAACTGACTTTTAACGAAAAATTCATTATTCCCGTTTTAGATTCATCCAACCTCGATCCATATTACGGCGGTAGTGGTGGAATACAAAACTCCGACTGGCAGAATAAACAAGGGCGTGACGACCACTTGGTTGAAGGAGAAACATCCCACCGATCCGCCCTGCCTCGTCCCGATTTTCGTGAGGAAGTCCCAGTTCCGTTTGCCGACGCGCCCAAGCACTCCTATCATCATGGTTGGCCCGGGAACCGGTCTAGCGCCGTTCAGAGGCTTCATACAGGAACGAAGCTTCGCGAGGAAGGAAGGTAAGCGCGTGCTTTCTCGTGCTACGCTTCTCAAAATTCCGCGGCATTCTCATCGCCGTTGGAGTGTATACACGTATAATACATGAATTTTGATCTCAGGTAAAGAGACAGGCGACACGATACTGTACTTTGGATGCAGAAAAAGCCAAGAGGACTATCTATATCGTGAGGAGTTAGATGGATACGTGAAGGACGGCACTTTAACATTGCACGTCGCGTTCAGCCGGGAGCAATCGCACAAAGTCTACGTCACGCATTTGCTCGAGAAGAACAAGGAGGAATTATGGCGTGTCATCGGCGAGCAAAACGGACATATTTACGTTTGCGGGTTAGTTTAAAGCATCTATTAAACTATGAAAAAAAAATTATATTCAAATTTTTTACGCGTGAATTATGCCTGTTCTTCTCAGGGATGCAAGAAACATGGCCCGTGACGTGCACAATATATTGCTCAAAGTGGTGATGGAACGTGGCAACATGTCGGAACTTGACGCTGCAAATTATATCAAGAAGATGGAGTCGCAGAAGCGATACTCTAGTGACGTTTGGAGTTGAGCCATATTAATTGTATCATAGAGAAATATACAGAAACATTTTTTTTAAGTGCGAGGGCCAGAGAGCTTGATGCTTGATTCATTGAAGCGACGAAAACGGTCGTTAGTAATGACAATCAGTCAAATCACCTATTTCATTCTATTCTTCATTCTCATTCGGTGAGTTTCCATTTCATTATTATGTCTTGCTGAATAGAATACCTATAGTTGAATTATGTTCCACAGTCAGAGCCGACATTATGCATACAGAGTCCTCTTTAAAGTTTGCGCATAGTATTTAAATATATTCGATTTAGTTTTTGTATTTTGGTTTTCGATGAAAGACACTGATTTTAAATTAGGGGAAAAAAAAACTTTAAAAACTGCTCATTAATGTGCAGTTTTTCTTAATACACACACCACTTATCTTGCTTGTGTGTGCTATCGCACACAATGTAAGTAAATACATACATGACAATTACAGATTATCTTGTGCTTAGTAAGGGCATTCGTTAACCTTTCGCTAACGGGAATTTTCCGCTATCACAGGAAGCCTTGAAACGTCGAGCTTATCGAGTTTTTGCGTTCACAGTGTTGGTCTCTGCCTGTCTCGTCAAGAATGTTAGTTTACGAACTAATTACGAAAAATTACTTCACAAATAATTTTATAAACTCACAATGATCTTTCTCAAATGTAAGATTATTTAAAACGGACTCTACATATTTTATATTATTCTATGAACAATAAGACGAGATTCGCGTCGTCTCTGCTGATGTTTGAATACTTTAACAAATCTTTCAAATGTGTCGTTTAATAAAACATTAATTGTGTCGGCTCTGTCGGTCACCGTGATATAACAAGTAATGTCTCTGTCGCGCAAATTGTACAAAAACAGTTTCATTAAAATTCAGCCGTTTCTCATTATCATCCGCGATCGTACGATCACAATGCGCCAATCTAGTTAAATGTTAAGCGTCTCATCGGATATAGGCGAATGCATGTCTTAACGTATATAATTTCTTTTTGTATAAGATCAGTATATAGTCAATGTGAATTGTTATGCAAAAAGACTTTGCAATTGTTGAGTTTTACGCACGAAACATATTCGAGAAATAGTATCTTGCTCTCGTTAATGATTACACAAAGTATATATTTTCTACAGGTACAATTGGTATGTGTCAATTGGTGATATTAGTATACAAATAGTGAAATCTTAGAGCAGCTTTATTCCAGTGTTAAAAAAAAACGCCTTTTTACCCTAAGCTCGTGCGTGTGAACCAAAGCGATTTAGTGAAACTTAAGCTTAAAACAAAAACAAAAAAAACAAGACCTGTTGCAAGTGAATGTCAATTCGAATTCAATCTAATGTTCACTCCATTGCAGTCACTGCAGCATATAGCATATGAATTAAAATAGTTATCGCGCGCACACTGATTTCAGAATCAATACTGAAATTGTTAATTTAGCCTTCCTGTTTCTATTTGGAATTGAAATTAATTATAATGTTGAACTGTCGATATTATTGGAGTTGTTATCGATGCACAATTAATTGTAATAAATTAGGTCAACAGTTGTGAATGAGGTAATTGCCGCTTATTCACATACAGCGTTTTTTAATCCGGAGATGTCGGGTATAGATGCGAAGCTATGTCTCATGGCGAATTGTACAATGAATTATAACTATAGTTATATTTTTACACGATGCATATAGGGATGGTGGAATAAAGATCTTTTGATCGACATATGCAAACCAGATTATATATCAGTCGCAGCATAATTTTATTCTAGCATATCTAATAACATAGGAATAATTTGTTATGAACTTTTCACAAACACCCACACATAAAATGATTTTATAATTTCTTTCCTCTGCAGCGCACAGTTAGAGTGATCGCGAAAAAAATTATTTATTAAATCGAAGAATGATCGGACAATTGTTTAATAATAATTAAGACATAACGTAATTGTGATAAAATAAATCTCAAAAGTTTCGATTCTCGATGTGGACACCAGTGACATTATACAGTGTGTCCTATAAGTCCAGTATCATAAGTGATGTATTTTTATTTATTTTTTTTTATTGATGCTTGTAATATCATCATTTTACATCATTAACTTTTACTTACTTTTTAATTGGATAAAATTGTCTAATCGTCCATACCGAAAGTAATAATGAATATTATTGAGTAGATTATGCAAATAAAGACTCGTCTCGCCCCTTTAATTTTTTTCGTACGACGTCAGAGACTTATCGGACATTCCGTAGAGGTCACAGAAACATAACCGTCTTACCGGCGGAAGTGAATTATTCTTTCCCTCCGATTTTATAGCAGAAGATCCGTATCGCTAACGTCGGGGGTTCGTGTCTCAGCTGCTGAATAATATACGTCGTGTGGGCACACAACCCTCTCAGTATCATGCGCATAGAGGTGGAGCCGAGCCTCGTCGCGGGGGTTATTCACGAGTCGGGGGTTATATCGTGGTCAATATTTCAGTCGCGGTTCGAGCGAGTCGGGGATCGATACCTAGTACGCTCGCGTGAGAGATACGGTGTAAAATAGAAATTATGAATGGCAAAAATAGGCGCGGCGGCCAGGCGACCGCGCCGCTGAGGGGTCCCGGTCGAGGACGTTGCGAACGTCAGAAATCGGGCGAGCGTCAGTGAATTCTCTCTCCTCTTGGCGCTCCTTCCCTCACGCCGAAAACACGCGGGTAGCGGTTGTGTCCCCGCGACGGGACCGTCCCCGTCGATCGGATCTTGTTGATGGGGGAGACCCACCGGGCAGGCATGAAATGCGAAGGAATAACAGCCTCAGGAGAAGCGCGTAAGTCCTTGTGTGTTTGTTTACCTCGCGCAGCTGGGGGCGAATTGCTTCCCCGCGATCATCGACGAGATAATTGTCGATTGTCGAAATTGGTTAGGAGATTAATCATCGTCTTTACGCAGGATCAGTCCGCTGACGCAGAAGATAAAGGCCCCCCAGCACCTGCTGAGACTCAAGGACGACGGGGATGGCTGCGACGATGATGGATGGGACGGTCGCTTTCGGCTGCCCAGTTTGCCCAGTTTGCCGCGACATAGATCGTGGAAGGACGATGACGATGATGACGACGACGACGACGACGGTGGCGGTGGCCTGTCCAACGGCAACAGCGCGGCAACGTCTGTCTCGTGGTCGCAGGAGGTGACGAGCGTGGCGACTCAGAAACTGGAGAAGCTGTGGGCGACCGTGGAGAGGACCTTCTACGAGGAGGACAATCAGCTGTTTCAGGAATCTGTTTTGGACGAGTGTTTACAGTGGAGAGCGCAGATACCGTACCTGAGAATAGTCGGCAAGAATCCGACTTGCGACAGTACGCAGCGCGACGTTGGCTCGAGCGACAAAAGGGCCAAGAGGGCTGACGATCCGCCAAACGATGGAGCATTCGTGGAACGCGATCTTTCAATGAAGGTAAAGAAAGCAGCTTCTTTTCGCGTGCTGTATACGTAATCCGAATGTGTATATTGTATTATTACACTGTACATCTTATATTATTCGTAGGAAGGGGAGGATTCTGTGCAACACAAAGTGAACAGGGCAAAATTCGAAGACGTTCTTGACATGATGATGGAATATATAATCTCGGAGCTCTTCCCTAACGAGAGGGACGAGAAGGGTACAGATTGTGGCCGCGACGATCTGAGTGACGCCCTGAGAATAGCGCCCGCTCCCGTTCACGGTAATAGAAACTCGTCGAGGAACTCGAAAGTGAATTGGGCAGAGGAAGCAATCTCGCCTAATTACATCGAAAACAAGTCGATAAGCATAAGAAATCGATTGCTGGATACAGAAAGCTCCCTGCAGACAATAAAGAACGACGCTAATCGTCAAGGAGTCCAGAAGTATGATAAAAAGAAAATAAATCGTCGAATCCTGGGTGCGTTCTTTTTTTGTTATTCGATGTGATCTGATTTCTAGGAGATCGAGGAAGTCAATCTCCGCGAATAAACTGAGGGACTTTGACGACGCGGAAGACGACGACGTCTTGCTATCCAACGAGCGACTGTGCACGCCACATATTGGCAGAAATAAGCTCGGCACTATCTTCAACGAGAGGATCGTCGTAAGCCCCGTGCCTTTTGCAGTGTCTACACGTGAAAGCTTCTCCACCTTAAAGACCGTCCCGATTAAATTCATGAACGAGAATTTGGAAATCTCTTCCTGTCAAGGTAGACCGACCATCGAAGTTACTTCAGCGTCAGTCGATTAATGCATTAATATTAACGAAAGTAAAAATCGCCAATGTTTCAGGATCAGCTCGAAACATTGGCTTCCAAGGTTCCGCGAGAAAATCGGGCGCTTTGAGAAATCCGAATATTAATTCCACCTGGCAACCTCCCGTCTCGCCTATCGTTTGGCCGAAAAATGTCCGACTCGCTCCCATAGACACTTCAAGACTTCCTAGCAGCAAAAACAGGTTGGTTAAAACGTTTCTTCGGCCTTCAAGCAGTCGGGAAGTAAGAGCGAAGGGTAATTTTTGAATTACAAATTTCAGATCACTGGCACCGTCGCCTGTTTGTGTCCAGCACTGCAGCAGAAAACCATTGAGCCCGATTTCTCGTTCCATGATACCGAAATCCGCCCACGTGACTCACCAGCGTGGCAACGAGTTTCTGGCGATTCAAGGGAAGCACATCGTACCCGCGCAATCGAACATCAGCCTGCTCTCGTCCGGCTGGGACGGCAGTCCCAGAAAGGCCAAGGGCAAAAGGAAGAAAGCCCGAGCGAAGGAGAGGCTTTGAGGGAGGAGCAGCTTATGTAAAACGCGATGAAATCGAGAGCGCTTTTGAATGCACTTGCATGCGAGAGATATATTTTTCAAGGATATCACGTTGTATCCTGCGTGTAATTGCGAGGAGGCCTATATATGAGTACAAAATGCTGCGCTTTGACGCGTTTGGCTTCGCAGCAGGATAAGCGCTTGGAGCACGGTGAAACGCTTTAAGAACGAAGTAACAGTATATTTTATTTATATTTATCGCGTCAGTGTAAAATATTTACGGAGGATGATTCGCGTCGCGCGTATATGTATACGCGCGACATGACGCTTTAATTTTACATACCATTGTTCCGCAGGTAACACTGTCTCTCTACCTCACGCGTCCGTGTTGTTCAAGTGTTGTTCTACACGCTTATCGCGAGTGGATATATTTTTGTATGCCGCACAATTATTATTAAATTTATTGTATGTGTATAAATATATACATGTAACGTTGTTGGTTGGGTAAATATAATATCGCATTTCTTATCCCGCGCTCGCAGCCCCGAAAGCCGATTCCATCTAAAGAAGTCCAAAAAGTAAGAATGAAATGTGCAGGTGTTCTGTATCACGCATTATTGTGTGTCGTAAATATATATAAAATAAGGTACTTTTCGCCCGTAACGTTTTGTGTGACGTTAAGATTAAAAATATACCGCTCGGGAATATACATGCATACACGTGCATCTGGCAAAGAGGTGATAAAATAACAAAGGTTACACAGGTGGAGAATGCGTGAACCTTTGTTAAATTAATACCGCGTGCTCTTGTAATAACAACGCCCTCGGGGGGAGGCACGTGGCACGGAATTTCGCAGGAAATTCGAACGGAGGCGGCATTTGCGCAAGTTCGGGCTTGCTCGGTATCGGCGCCCGCGACGCGTTTAGTTTCGCGCGAGCTTGCAGCGGTGGAGGACGCTTCAACGGCCGGCGAGACGGGCGGTACGTCGAGAGGGAAAATTCGAAATAACGCGACACACGATCGGATCGCTTCGCTGTGACGAAGGAAAGAGAGCAAAAGGATTACGGAGAAAGAAAGTTTGCGGAGAGTTTGAGACGGAGGTTTTTCTGTGCCGAGCGCGACGACTGCGGAATTTGTTCGCAGGCGAGTTATATATACCTTTGAATTGAAAGAACGTAACTGTTCACTGTTCAGATATAAATTTTCAAACCAAACGTTTTCTTATAATATAATATTTGATTTAATTAATATCGAATGTAAATGTCGTAATACACGTTCTTCGGGGGATGATTGATTAACGCGTAATAAGCCCGAGGGGATAATGAAATCTTTTTAAAGATATCGTTTTTCTAAAAATATATCTCGTTTACAAGTAATTACGAGCGATATACTCCTGCAGGATCTCAGTTAAAAGGCGCATAAAACGTGCGGACGTCCCATATGATAACGCAGATGAAGAACCTCGCGAAGGATCCCATCGGCGATATGTCTACTTACGAAAGGTCGAACGACGAGCATCAACTGTCGACGATAACGAGGATCGTAGGGGTGTGCACCGCTATTGGTGAGTCCCAATAGTTTATGTCGCATTTAATAGCCGTACGCTTTTATCTCCAAGATCCTATAATTATTGGTATTATTTTCTCATCGGGAAAGGTAAACCTTCTGTCGAAGGACGTGAAAGGCGGTTGAAATTCAGAATATTTACTAATTTATAATTAATATTTATATATAACTATTAATTAAAAATTCAACTATTAATAAAAGTAAAAAATTTAGTAGCCAGACTGCGAATTAGTAGCGCGATATAAACTGTATATAAAAAAAGGGAAACTCATCGCGCGGTTTGAATAAAAATTTCATCTCGAGGAAGAAGCAGCGACGGAATGAAAATGATCCTCTCTGCTGCTTCGAATGAGAATGTGGACGGTCGTTGCGCGGTCACCGCTTTTCATTATCGCTTAGAAAACGTAAAAGGACTCTGTCGGCGGGGCTATTTACACCTGCTTAATATTAATGGGTTGTTATAGCGCAGCCGAAGACAGTAGCCCGGGACCTCAAGTCCCCTCGCGATTCGCCCGATGGAGCTGGGGATCTCGTTTAAATAGCCGCGCACATTATCGGATTCTGCGAAAATTCCAGGGCTCGTAGCGCGTCCCTTATTTTCTAGATGATCTGCATTCTTACGAGAATTCAAGTCGTTTAGAAAATGAATCGGCGAGGCAACGATAACGAAATACGAAAACGACGTAATAAATTCATATATTATTAAACGAATATATACATATATGTATATATACGAAGTAAAATCCTGGCAATAATTCTGTTTAACTATGCTTAATGCGCTAGAAATAATCGAACGATGACAAAAATATATTCCAATGGACTTTGAACGTTTGAAATTGCTCCGTCAGATTCGGCTGCCAATAACACGTGTTCCCTCCATTTTCCGTCCATTTCGCGTCTCCCGTCGCCTCGCCGCGACAAACAATGACGAAAAATACTCTCGGCGGATCCACCGGCGGTCCATTATCTCCGAATGAATGGCGGAAGTTTTTGGAAGGCGGAGGGACGGGGACGGGAGGTGGTGGAGCGGCGACGCCGCGCGCGCTATATACCGAAACGCTCGATGTCGCGACGCTGCTGACTCATCCATCCGTCGCGAGCCATCGGAAGCGACACGGGGATTAATTGCCCACGACACTGTCGCGCTTTTGGTCGGGGGTCTCCTAATTGATAACACTTAATGTGCCCGCTCTCGCGGGGAGGGCAATTAGCGAGCGGGCGCGTGGTCGATCGAAACGGATGAATGGCGAGAGTCGCGTTCGAGAGCGTGTCGGGGGAGGGCTCCTGCACGGTTGACGTTTAATTAACGTGCGGTTCCTGGTGCCAAATGGCCGCGGAAAATCGTGAACCGTTTACTGAAATCACACGCGAGATATCGGATGCCCGCGGATTTTATTGCGTTTTCTCGGACTCGACGGAACTTTTGAATGGTGAACGAATGTTCGCGCGATTTTCCCCTTCGCCGCGATCTCTTTATGGCCGCGTTCGTTATATATGAATGTCGTATAATATTGCACACTTTATACAGTATAAAACACACGCACACGCGCACATGCATTTTTTTTCTCTCGCTTGCTCGTTTTACGATTTATCCCGCGCTGCCCATTCGGCAATTACTCGTTGAAGAGCTCGCTCGGACGTTTTTAATTGGTCCATGGTGAGTGTAAAACAAAATATTTTTAGCTCGTTGGTGGTATAAAGAGACACAGCGGGAATTTCTGCGGGGAAATTCCTCGCGATTTAACGCAACGAAATGTTTTTTCCCGGAAGAATATATTCTGTCACCTCGCGAATCGCCACGTTTTTGCCGTGTCGCGAAATAATGGTCCAGCGATGCTTTCGTGATAATTTTATCGCCCGTTTTCAAATAATTCGTCGACGGCTCCCGCATCAGCGCCAGCAGAATTGCACCGGTCCACACACACACACACACATGCGCGCGCACATTTATACACAACAACCCGATATTTATTAGACAATATTTTTATTTATTTATTTTTTAACAGGCTGTTGCGATCACAAAATGCGCGCGGATCGTCAAACCACTCCCTATATGTTTTGCGCCATCCCGCGCTCTTTTCGAAGGCATTATTTGCGATGACGGCGAATAAAAATGGACAATGCGACGACAATTGCAGCGTGCATTTCGCAACCGCGAGCGAAACGTGTAGGTCGCGAAACGTGGCCATTATTTATGCCGCTGCAGGCGCGCCGAGGCGCCCGCACCCGGACTTTTTCGCTTAATCCGCAAAAGAACACTCGGCGGGACAAGACGAGAAAGAAATAGACAGAAACAGAAAGAGAGAGAGAGAGAGAGAGAGAGAGAGAGAGAGAAAGGCAAACAAGAAGAATTTCGCCGTTGGTAACGACACGTCCGCGCGAATTGACGCGTAAATCTTTCACGGTGGGTTATTACCTCTCTTTTTTTCTGTTTTTTTTTCTCTTCTTCATCGCGCCGATAGTGTTACGAAGTCGAGGGAGAAACATCCCTGCGCCGCCGTTTGTCGAGGAATCCATGATTGAAAAGGAAGTGGGGACTCGAGATAGGATATTCTACGCGCTCCCGTCTCTCTTCTCCGTTATATACTCTTGTATAATATTCCCGCGGATGGAATCCTCTCAGATTACGTTCGCGGATAAGCTCGCGAGAAGGGGGGAGCGGAGGGAGGGGACGAAGGAACTCGCGACCCCCCGGTCGGAATTTGCAGAATTTTCGCCGGTCGAGCGGTCGCGGTCGGTTGCAGCGCGCGCGGAGCGTCGCAGTCGCGAGGATATAAATATAACCGGGCTATTTACGTGCGGTTGGGTATCGGCATTTCGTTATCTTGGCCCGGGCGACGGCGCGGAAAAGCCACGCTCTCTCGCGCTTTCCCCGAACGGTCGCGACCGCGTTGCGCCACGCCGCGTCTGCAGCACCGGAAAACAAGCAGCCCCCGGCGGACCATCAACCGGGCGCACCCCTTCGACCCCGCCCCCGCTCGCGCTTGCACCCTCTGGCCGTTGCTGCCGATACAACCTCGTTGATTTACCGTCCGCGAGGACTTATCGCGGAAATGCGTCGATACACGGCGGCGTCCTCTCGAAATACATAGAGAGAAGCACGCGAACACGTGGGAATCGCGAGACATTTCGGTCCGTCCGCGAGAATCTCGGAAGCGATTTTACTCATTTACGCGTGGCCAGAATGGCTTTTTGAATCGCGTTAAAACGCGACCATTTTATCTCGCTACGAATTTATGAAATTTCCCTCGGCTGGACGTCACGTTGCGAAGGCACGAGGTTTCCGGTAAAGGTCGGCTGTCACCTTCTCGCGAAACTATACACACATATTCGCCGTCCTCTAAAGAGGAGCGCTCGCGGAAACGCGGATGACACATCACGTATATAGGTGGTACCCGACGTCGTCGTCGCGTCGCGAGTCACATCTCGCGAGATGATATCCATCGCCGGAGCGATATATATTTCAAGGAGCGAGCTGTGACTTCCGGGAAGAGAAAAGAGCGACAAATGTATATATAGCGGGGAATGCATATATATATATATATATATATATACGTTCCCCGTTGGCGTCGCGGCCGATCCGCCGCCCGCGATTCGACCCGAGGGGGCTCCAACTTTCGATTGCTCGTAACTCGTCCTAACGAGGACAAACCGGGAGGGGTATTTGGTTACGCGAGTAACCCGAGAACGAACTTCCCACGCGCGCGATCCGAGTGAGTTTTCGCGGGCGAGAGCGACTCGTCCGACCCTCCGTGTCCGAGTCTCCCTTAGACCGCATCATTCATCTTGATAAGAAAAGAGGTCTCGTGAAACTGCAGTCTCTTAATTTCTCGGAAATGAAATCGAGATCGCGTCACGGATGACATCCGGATGCGGGACCTATGCCGGTCGCGCGATTCCCGCATATTACACGACATATATGCAGACTTTCAGAATTAATAACGCGAAGGGACACCGAGAGGCTGAGGTAATACGGAGATATAGACTCGCTAAACTGGAGCAAGGGTTGTGTGGCAGCTCCGTCCGCAGCTCTCGACAACCGTTATAGACGGGGCGCGCACTTCGCGCGCGATCTCGCATTCGTGTACTTTAATTAGTTTCCGGGAGTCTGCGGGCGCCGTCGAAATCGCGCTGCCGTACAGCACATCCTCTGAAATTATAAACTGCAATCGGATTAACCCCGCTCTCTCTGAGCGTCTCCTCTGGCTCGTTTACAACGTAAATATTGCGCGCCGGACGCGCGGGTATACGTTACGTTTCCGCGCTTTCCCGCGGGGTTGATAATCCCGCGCGTATACGCTCTGACAGCATCCTTCAAACTCGATGAACCGAATTATTGTCGGGAAACGAGTTAATAACGCGCCACGCATATTTATCGACGGCAATTACTAAATATATGCTGTTTGGGAAGTATAATTCGTACGTTCCCATTTATCGTCTCTCGTAAATTAGTTCGTCACAAGAGGGAAGGAGGGGAGGGTAGGAAGGGGGGGGGGGTATAAAATATAAACGAAGCAAATCAAATATACGAGGATAAATCGAATTCGAATTACTATAAAAATCTATATTCAACAACTACGTTGTTAAATGCGTTTAATTTTAATTTGATTCTGATGCTAATCGTGGATAGATAGACATAGACGATACGAATTTCAGAATATCAAATTACGCTGCTCTCTCTCTCTCTCTCTCTCTCTCTCTCTCTCTCTCGAAATTCACGACGGAAATGTAAAACGGCAATTAGGCGATCGGCGATAATTTATAGCCGCCCGCACCGAGTGCACTTGCCATTCGTATCGAAGCGTAAATCACCGCTAATTTGCGCGATGCGATTACGCCGGCGAGAATCAGTCGCCGGTGCAAATTACATCCTCCACTCGTGCGCCATTGGTATGTGCATTATGCATTCGCGAGGCACATTCGTAGCGCTGAAAACGGATTAAACACGCCCCGGCCGAGATTGCCGAAACAACATCTAGGTACATATCTTCTCCAGTC